ACAACATTTGCTTTTGAATGCCCCTGTGTTTTTAGCTGTTAGCGCTAGCCATAAGCTAGAGCCACAGGAAATCTTGCTGCAACATGATATGTGTTTGATGTCCATTAACTCAGTTATAGCAGTGTAAATTTGATTTTACAAATTAAAAGTATATTTGTGGCAAGTTGACAATGCATTATCGTTCATTGTTTCCTCTGACGGGTACATATTTCATTGAGACAGGTGCACTTGCAATATTTATCAAAACTTGTTTCATTGAAACTGTTGTGAACTTTTTAGAAAATATATTTAAAATGTACATATATAAATAGAGTGTTGGTGTATGAATATCTTAGTTTTGTTGCAAGCTCCAAATTAAAGTCTTGCTGCAGGGTGATGACTTTACAAAGGAGTAAAACCTTAGCTCAGAAAAGCATAAACTAAACTTGGATTTTGTGATTCATAAATATCTATGATATCTATGAGGCATGAGGACACTTACCTGTATAACAACTGTTTCTCCATTGATATTACTATGTGTAATCCATAGGATATTTGTTAACCAACGCCGAGATATCAGTTGACTGACTGCCAGGGAGTGTGCTGCTGATTTGTCTCTGATTGTGCAATAGGCAATGGTGTTTGTGCGCACAACACACACGAGCACAGACAGATAGAGAGCAACATGCCCATCCCTTTATGCAGCTGCTGTGTTGTTCAGCTGTCAGTGTGAAAAATTTGAGGTGTGTTTTTGTGTGTACAATGAGAGTCATGAGTTAGGAGGAGTGGCATGGGGTTGGTGCAAACAACTGCTTTTCATCTCTGCAACTGCACTTTCACTTCTCTTCTTCTCAGCTGTGTGTGTTATGATCTTTGTTTTTCCATTGCTGTATTTTGTTCCCTGCGTATATAATCAAGAGTGCATGTTATAGCAGAATTTCTTGCAATGCTAAAAACCTGGTAGGGTACAAGTCAGTCCATGAGCCTTCCAGGTTTGAGGTCATAGCGGCATACAGCTTTGGTGCAGCAGAAGTCTGAAAAAAGAAAATGTTTTTATTATTAAAACCTAGTAGTTTTTAAAGCTTTGCACTTTCATTAAGGTATGGTAGGTCTTAGATGGTGGACTGTCAGACCGTAATAAATGTAGCATGTATGTATGCATCCTAGGATTTTACACTGTACTACAACATTATTCTTTAATATGATATTAATGTTGAACTATGAACTGGGCAAAATAATATGCTGTGCATCCTTTAAAATGAATAAATCTACTGCTGCATCTGCTATTATTAATTATAACTGTATTTATACCTATTATATTATACCTATACTTAGAGTTTATGAGGACTGATACTGTATTATTGAATCTACTTTGGGGACCACTAGCTGCAGAGTTGGCTGGACACATGGCATATTGTACCGAGACTATTTTAACTGGGGAAATAATTTGTTTTTAATCAAATGACCAGGGCTCGTTTTGCATGACAGTTTCACTAGTTGTGAAATTGTTAGACACAGATGAGGGAACATGCTGTCAGTCTGGAAGTCAGGTGTAATGTTGTGTGTTTCCCAAATTAGCTTGTACTTCTCGATGTAAGTGTGCTTGTGGTGTGTGTGTTAGTGCATCTGCTAGTGTGCACACAATATGCTGCAATATGCTGGAGTGTTGGCCTCTATCTGACCGCAGAGGGAGTGGCTCAGAGGATAGAGAGGATGCTACAGGAGGATGAATAGAGAAAGTAATGGGGGACATAGAAAGAAAGGTGTGTGTGTGTGTGTCTGTGTGTGTGTGGGTCTGTGTGTGTGGGTCTGTGTGTGTGTGTGTGTTTTATGCAAGGGAGAGAGGGGATGGAGAGTACGCCTGGCAGGTCCTGTCCTTCATTTGGAAGAGATTGCTTCTCTGGCTCACCTCTCACCAACTCCTTTCTGCAGTCATCTCCATGGCCAAGTTTAACTTGATTGACGTCACACATAAAACATTAAAACTCAACAGGACTGCTCCTCTGTTTTTTGTTTTGTTTTTTTTTCTGGTGTCAGGGCATGAGTATTACTAGGTGATGCAACAGTCAGCAGACAATAGTCAGTAGGTCATTCACATCTTAAACCTGACTACCCCGTTAACATAATTAACTAAGGAGGAATTAATTTCACACTAAAAGTAACATTTGTATTGAAATTGATATGTACACATTGTATCTTTTAGTTAATATTGATGTTTTAATGTATTAATTCATTATAAATCTCCTCAAAAGCACATCAAGTTCCTCTCTAGCACTAAAACCTCAAAATACAGTCAGAAAGTTCTTCTGTTTTTTTGTTTTTTTTTTCATATGGTGGCTGTTAAGTAAAAGGATGCTACTGTAGAACATTCACCACCACTTATACTCACAACCACCAATTGTAACCTTGTGATCTGTCACTAATATTACTAATTACATATATATAAACTCAACCTAGCAAGTGCTAACAAATGAAATTTCGTAGACTATTGTTCTTGACTCTTGGTGAAAAGAAGTTTGTGTGAAAGTGTAGCTGCATGACAACCAAAAGGGACATCTATATAATTTGTTGGAAAATGTTATCATACATTTATAGGGTGGTCAAAAGCACTGCTTTCACTCCAAGTACTGAAAAGTGGCAACAATTTTCACAGTATAAGCAGCAGCAGAATATATTGTATTTTATATATCAATTAATCAGTTAAGTAAATATATATATATATATATATATTTACTTAATTTACTTAATCAATTAAGTAAATATATATATTTACTTAATTGATTGTTGTTGATTGTTACTGCTTGTGTTTGTTTGTTAGTTTTTTTTTTCACCAAACTTGGTGAAGGGCTAGAGTAGGTCCAGGGAAGAGCCCATTAAATTTAGGTGAAGATCCAGCCAAAGGAAAAAATCCAGGAATTTTTTTTTATTATTTTCCTTAACATTGTGAGATGGGGCCATTTTTTTAACATTTTCATCAATTTGTCAATCCCAAGGAATTATATATGGATCTAGGTATTAAAAAAACAGACACATTTATGGTGTTGAGATCTGTGACTTTGTACAATTCGCTGAAGATCCAGATAATGATCTGGATCTGACAGATGTGTGGGATTGTTTTGCCTTGGTGAAGGTATACACTACTGAGTGCCATTCTAGTTATTGTTCTCTTTAAGAATGTCATTAATTGTGTTTAATGGTGTTACATTTTTCCAGCCTTATTTGTTATATTCATTATCCCAAGCATGGAGTCCACTCTGCACCTGCTTTAGTGTTTTGAACGTTCTGCCACCTTTTAGCCACCACCTGCTTTTTTTGTTCTCTGACGAAGATATATTCTTTTGTATTGTGGATAAACTTAGTGTTGCATAAATTGGTTAAAACATTCACACACTCATGTACACAAATGCACATATGGAATTAATCAACTATTTCGCAGCAACAACAAGTTACCGTGTGAAACACACAAACGGACACACACTGTTAGCAGATGTTATGTATTTTATGATTGGGATGGAATTACAAAAGAAATGAGGCCAGTGGTTTGAACAGGGTTTCCTCTCCATGCTAGCTTGCAAACATCATTTTCCTGTATTTCACATGTCAGCAAAATGCTCAGTTGCTATAACCGCCTGTCATAGTAGTCCCAAAATAGTGCAGAGATTATTGTTCTAGAAGCTCAGCTGACCCAGTTTGAGGTGTGTGAGTGTTGCTGCAAGGTTTGTTTATTTCTGAGAGTAGTCGACCTTCCTGCCACTTTGTTTGGTGTGGTGAGAGGTGGGAGTTTAGGGGACGTTGAAGTGAGTGCCTAGCAGTAGCAAAGAGGGAGCAACATTGAGCCATGGGAGAGAGGAAGGGGGCTGTGGGTTGCTGTGTCTCTTTCCGTACACCAGTAAAAGGGGAGCAGTACATCCTCTGTAGTTGTGTGCCTCTCTGGTTGGCTGGCTGGCTGTCTTGACTTGACTGACTTGACTGGAGGGATATAAATAGCAGTCTTTGAGTAGGATAACTGCGGAGGGAAAGGAAGGAGAGTGGGGGAGGGGTGGGGAGATGGAAGTGGCGCCAGGGTAGATAGGAGTGCCAGCGTCTCGGAATAGGGAAAAAATAATGCAGCCATGGTCTCATCTGTTCACTCACTCACTCAGTCACAAGGATGATCATACTTGGACGTACTCAGAAGAGAGAGTGCATTATGGAGGGGAGAATTGAGGGATGGAATGTATGATTAATTCATGGCTCTGAAGCTGAAGGCCTCTCTTCATGAAAGAAGGCAGTGGATAGTAATGCACATAGATGTGTACATGCACAGAGGACAATGTAAATCTCTGTTCTATGAGTTTGTGATAAAACCAATCACTTTTACCAGGGAGATTTCGAGTTGTTGCTGTAAGGTGGCTACGGTCCATCCTCTGAATTGACTATGGGAGGGATGATATGAATTAGGACAGGCTAAAGCCCACAATTACAAGGGGTGGCTGGCTGTGATGGTAAGGAGCTGTTTGGGTTTTGTTGAGACGTGCCAGTCACGTTCCTGAAGACATTCCTCAGCTGTTCCTAGCTCACTCAGTAACCCACAACATTGGGGTTATGCAATATCTAACATGGTCCGTCCTGCTGTTATTCTTCAATTCCAGTGCATAAAAGCTTGAGTTGTAGTATAGCTGTTATGAATAATGGGCATCTTGTTTAAAACTACCAGATATTACCAAGCATGATTTAAGGAATTTGGGCAGACCTTGCTCTTTAAGCTTTTTACCTGCCACAGCTTCAAGCCAGCCTGCTGTCCTCCCTCTCAACTGCTCTTCCTCCAGAGCAGGGGTGTAATGGTTGAAAATAGAGTGCTTGATGTACCGCTAATGGCTGCATTGTCTGGCAGTGTGTAAATGTGTTTTCAAAGAATCATAGTGGCCAGGTGCTAACCTCCCCCACCATCTCTTTTTTTTTTTTCCTCTCTCTTTGTTCCAGACGGTTGATGACGATGCAATGGCAGCGTGAATGAAGCTTGGCGTGGGGAGAGCTGAACGATGCCCAAAGGTGGGGGTTCTAAAACCCCCCAGCTGGACCACTTCCCACTCAACACCGACATGGTGGAAAAGCAGGGTGGGAAGAAGGTAAGACTGAAAAAAAAACACATACACACACACACACACACACACACTCACACTCAATAACACACAATACTCCAAAAAAACAGTTTTCTGTATACAGCATATAATCACAGTTTCATTTTCTTTTTGTCCTTGAAACCTGACACTAAACCACTGCATCTGATTAACAATTATAAAACCTCGGAAGGCCTTACAGACCAGATACAACGTTAGCTAAAAGAAAGAAGAAAGTTGGTTTTGGAATGGTGGACAGACCATCCGTTACTTGGAAGCCCTGGCTACCCTTCAGCAGAAAGTATCGCCCCCCTGAAGTCTTTCAGCATGGTACTGGACTAGTACTAGTTCTACCAGTTTCAATGATGAGTTTTACAGTTGATCCTGATCTTTGCCCTCTCTGTGGAGAAGGGGAGCTTTATAAAAGTTTCTCATTGTCTACGACGTCATCTTTGTCAATTAGGTGACATTTTCGAGTTGGGTTTAGATTTGCCCCTCGTTATAATTTTTTTTTTTTTTTTTTTTTTACAAATTTTCATTTACTAGAACTAGAAAGTCTAGTTATAATTAACAAGGCGGAAGGTCCAAAGACCAGCTAATAGCAGATTGAGGTGTATGTAGATATTACATATATATTTAAAACAGTATGAATTCTTTCTTGCCATAGCCTCAGTGTAAGTCAGGGCCTGTGTGGTAAGGCCAAGCTCAGACCTACAACCTCTGTAATTTACTCTTCAGATGTGGAGACACCAAAAATTATTCATGTTATCGAATAATAGTGGTTAACAACATACTCGGGTACCAAGAACAAACTGGATGTTGTCTGTCTTCTATTATTTACACTTTGTCTTTTTCATTAGTCTCAATCGTGTGATGTATTTACCTCTGACTGATGACCACATCAAGACAGATTCTGGTAATTAATGTGTAGTATTTTCCAGCTTTTCTAGGACCATCTTATGGCACATTTACACAATGGACTATTGTATAATGCACTGGTGGATACGGATAAACAGTTTTTATGTCAGTAAAATTCAGGCAAAAAAGGCTGCTTTTCTTAGCCACATTCAGAAGCACCTGTAGCCTTGTTAGCCTGTTAAAACATATTTGGTATTGAAATTTAAGTTATGAGGGAAGTGTCTCTCATAATTTGACACAGGTACAGTCATGTTGTTTGAAAGGAACAAAGTGTAAGGCGCAGCTTGATGATGTCATGGTGTGTGCCAACTGTTAAGCTACCAGCAGCAGCACCAAGAGGCGAAGAGAGGAGAGGTACAGCTTATGCAGGCATGGATTTACAGCCCTCTGCAAAGGATTGCATCAGACTCTGGCATGGAGGGAGGGAGGGAGGGAATGAAGCACACAGGGGTGGGTGGAAAACGGAGTGAGACGAAAAGAGAAGGCATTGCTAGGAGACCACCAAACAGGGTGTCTTATGAAGGTAGATCTGAGGAAAGTCTCTAGATGTCAAAGCTTTCTTTGAATTTTATTCGGCAAAACACAACCCAGTCTAACTCTAGTGATAAGCTTTTTGGTGATTTGACCATTTTCTGCCAGTGGAATTGGTGCCAAGTAGAACCAAGCTCTACACGTGAGGTTGTATTTTTTTCTTCTCTCATAGAAATCACTTCCTCACTTCTCAGTTTCCCCACATAGATGTCCTGTAGCTTCTGCACATGCGAGATGTGTGCATCATGTTATCACGTGAATTGTGGGTTCTCTTGAAAAAGCCTTTGTGTAGGTGAGTAGAGATGCAGACAGAGAGAGGAAGGGGGAGAGGGAGAGAGAGATCAGCTAACTGTAGCTGCCACTGTTTGTCTCTACTGTACCATGACATCATAGTCTTATGACTGGGGTAGGGCAGGGGGAGGAGTTCAAAGACTCGACACATAATGGAAAACCTGCCCTGAGGATAGAAAGAGATGAGTAGGGGACAGAAGGTAGGACTGAGAAATTAAGTGAAATAAAGTGAGCCTGTGTACATTACATTTGACCTGCTCCTGCATCTCTATTATAAGACCTTAAACCCTCTGTACATGAAGCACAATGATGAAACACACCCCGACTTTATAACAAAATACTTGCATTGTTTTTAAGAATCCATGTTATGAGACATTTCTTTAGAATTGAGCAATTCAAAGTACATCATCATTTCACAATTGACTGACTCCATTGCTGGTGGAAATTCCCTTTTCACTGAGACCTTAATCCTGTAATGTTTATTTCCTGTAGAGTTAACACAGATGTGGTAACCACAGTGTCAACAATGTCAAAAAAAAAACAGCATCAACTGTATTGTACAAGCACATCCACTACCTGACATATTCTGGTATCAACTATTTAAGGGGGATGAATTTAGTTCACACATAACCACAAATGTAACTGTAAAACACACAACACTATTTTTACATAGCAATAACATTTCAATCATTATTGATACATTCTTACTTTATTGTCTCCCACCAGTTCTCTGGTCTTGGGACAACACAGATTTTTGAGGTTTAGAGAGTGCATCAGATATGTCTAATTTAAGTGGTGGATGGAAAAAAAAAGCCACTGTCTGTTTTGGTGATTAAGATCCTTTAAATGCACACATCTGGATCACTGGCATTACTGTAGTAAAGTGGAATGACTCCATGTTACTTCAATTTGTACCATGCACGCCTCCCCATATGTATTTACTTTCATTTGGAAATTCAGAAGTTCCTGAGGAATCCTGGCATTTTGTTTGCAACCGTAATGTATGTAAAGTGTGGGTGTTTTTTGTTTTTATTCAATTTTTGCCCAGATATAATCCTACTCCCAGAGTTGTTTATGGCGTTTTAATACATCTGTACACTCCACAATTACCATAAAGGTTTACATTTCAATTACTAAAAGCATTATACATTCAGGAAAATATAACCTGATCTGACTACAGCCGGTTCTGTCATTCATCAAAACTTATGACTTCTATCTGCAAGTTTGTTTTGCTCCACGGTTTACTGGCTCCTTCCTTTGACTTCTATCTGCAAGTTTGTTTTGCTCCATGGTTTACTGGCTCCTTCCTTTATCAAGAAAAAATAATGAACCATTTCTAGTTAGATTCTAGTCAGATTCAATTGCTGTTTGTTCTTAGATTGTTAAATAGAAAAAATAAGCAATTTGAAGATATTACTTTGAGCTTTAGGAACTTATGATATACATTTTAGTATATGCATTATATAGACCAAGCAATTATTTCATTCTAAAGATAATGATTCATTTCTAATAAATTTTAAATTGTAACCGTACTAGAAACAGTTATATCAACTCTTGGAAATCTTCCTATTTTTCAGTTCTAATAGTTGTAAAGCTGCTAGTCAGGACAAGCAAGTCACTATCACTATCAGATCCCAATACAATAAAAAAACATGTTGAACAAACATAAGTATTTACATCTGCTGATAGCACATACACTTGGGCTTGTGATTGTTTCCAGCAGCTGTAGACCACAAAGCTGAGTCGGCGTCAGCATGGCCTCCTCTCCCTGCGCCTGGCTCTTTGTGCTGTGGCCAGGGAGCCAGGAATGTAGGAGGAAACTCCATTGAAAAGTTTTGCTTCGCAAAGCTCATAATGGCAAGAAGAGTCAGAGCAGAGCACGACACTGAATATAGGAGGAGGCTGCAGGATCCATCGCTAGCTCATACGTGTCTGTCTCTTTTGGCTAACGTCTCGTTTTTACATCTCATACTTTCTGTTCAGAAAACAAGTAAATGTTGAAATTACAGTGCTATGTCTCTATTCTGATCAAAGCTCTTTCATCTCTTAATCATGTTCTTCATGTTCTCATTTGTCTCCTCCACAGGATAAAGTGTTGTCAAACAAGACTCCCAAATTGGATCGCAGTGATGGGGTCAAAGAGATGAAAGAAAAGGCCCCTAAAAGGAAGCTGCCCTTCACTGCTGGAGCTAATGGAGACCAGAAAGATTCTGACTCGGGTAAGAGAATATTAAGATGTATTTACGCATGTGTTTTGACATCTCCACCTCCATGGGACTTTAAAGTAGGAATCAAAAAGGAATGGGAGTTATTGCATCACATCCTCTAAAGCTGGCAGGAAGTAGGTAGCAGTGCTCTGTAATAGGAGGGGGGTTGGGCTTTGTGAAGTGAAAGGGCTCTCAGCTCTAGCTTCAAGTCAGCTGTGTGTCTGCGGCAGAGCCATGGAGTTTGTTTCTACAATCACAGTCAGAAAGGAGAGGAAGACCACATAAAATCATGATCCAATTAAGTGGGGATTTGTATAACGTACAGGCCTGACCAGGTCTGGCTTTGGTAAGTCTCCGGCTTTGTGTTTTCTTTAATTAGGGAGAGAAGGACTACTGCTCATGCTTGTTTGACTTTGGGCTTTAAGGGTTCAGGATTTAGTTTGTTGATAATGGTCCAACTCGGAGGCTTTGGTAACAGCCTTCATCATCAGCATTGGCTGAGTCGCCACATTGGTTTATGTTCAGTGATTAGACTTGAAAAAGGCTTTCCACTCCAGGCAGGAGTGGAAACCTAAAACTGTGCGTGTTGCAACAGATGACTGTTATGGTTTGGAGTCGAGTTTTGTAAGATTGGAGATGTATTTTGTAGACGTGAGCTTGTGTAGCTCACAGTAATTATGAATAAGTGAAATGTTAAATTGAGAAACTCTTAACTTGCTTCCTCAGTACTACTTTGATTGGAACTCTTGAACCGCTGTAGTGTTTGTGTTCATGTCAGTGCCTTTTGCATCCTTACACTTATGTTGCAAGATTTTCTGCACTGTTTCTTCAGTAATAATATATGCTTTTTGTGTATCATTGTTATTATTTTACTCATTCACTGGTTTCATATTATTTACCTGTTGGCTTTCTTAGGATGTTTCTCATAGCTTCTACAAGAAAGCGTCAACCCCACCCCCCTCAGTAAGGGGAGGTGTGAACGCTTATCTCAGGAACAATAGCAGGACAGTCTGTTAGTATGCTAATAGCTTGATCTGTTGTTGGATTGGGCTATATGGTCTTTCAGCCCTTGATTCTCAACTCTCTGCAGTGACAAGAAAAAGTATGTGAACCGTTTGGAATTACCTGGTTTTCTGCCTCGATTGGTCATAAAAAGTGATCTGATTTTCATCTAGGTCACAGATGTAGGCAAAGTGTCCCTAAGTTAATATCAGTGCTGATGGAAAAAGTAAGTGAACCCTTGGATTTAATAAGTGGTCGAACCGCCTGTGGCATCACTAACCAAACAAGCACTTCTGGTAACTGCTGATCAGACCTCTGAACAATGTACAGGAGGAATTTTGGACCATTCTTCCTCATAGAGCTGCTTCAGCTCAGCCATATTCTTAGGAGAGCAGCTCTCTTGAGGTCATTCCACAGCATCTCTACTGAATACAGTTCTGTGACTGACTGGACCACTCCAGAAGGCGGTTTTTCTTTGTTTTAAGTCATTCTGTAGTAGATTTACTTTGATGTTTAGGGTCATTGTCCTGCTGCATCACCCAACTGTTGCTGAGTTCAGCAGATGTTCAGCCAATCTGACATTATCCTGTAAAATACATTGACAAACTTGGAAATGTTTGCATGCAGTGCACTTTTCCAATTCAATCGTAGTTTCATCAGTCCGTGAAGTGTGAAGCTGCACTTTGGCAAACTTCAGATGCAGCAGTGAGTGTTGTGGTTGACTCATGAACAGAGATGTTAACCAGCTCCAATGATTCCTTTAACACTTTAGCTGTAACTCTGAGGTTCTTTGTTACGTTGCTGAGCTTTCTGCATTGTGCTTTGGGGGCATCTTAGCTGGGCACTCATAGACAGTTTTATCTGACTCTGGACTGATGAATTTCTAAACCCTTTGAGATGACTTATTAACACTTTCCAGCTTTCCTCTGAGATCTTTTTTTTTGGAAGGCAGATGTTTCTTGTGAATAGCAAACTTAAAATGTTTAAGTGTATTTTTTGGTAAGTCAAAATAGCTCTAACCCAAACCTCCAATCTTGTTTCATTGACTGGACTCCAGGTCTAGTAACTCCTGACTCCAATTAGCTTTTGTTAATGCCATCAGCTGAGGTGTTTTACATACTTTTTCCAGCCTACACTGTGAATGTTGAAATGATGTTTTCAATATGGACAAGAACAAACATTGATTTGTGGGTTATTAGTTAAAATAGACTGTGTTTGTCCATAATTGTAGTTTTGATGAAAATCTGGTCATATTTAAGGTCAGATTTACACATAAATGGAGGTAAATCCAAAGGGTTCGCTTCATTTTTTCTTGCCACTGTATTCTGAACATAACTGTCTCTAACTGTCTTAATAGTTTCTTGTGTTTACAAACCACAGAAGCCTGGAAGTTTCCAGGGTTCATGCCATTACACAATTCACACAGTTTTTATAATTGAGTTGGTTGTATCTGTCTGTCACTGCAGTGCTTTTTATTAGGATGTATTGTTTCACATAGGGAAAATTATGTTGTCTTAGTGGTGGCTAGCCTAATACTTGATTGGAGAACTGTAATTTCTCTGTATCTACGCCTGTGCACGTAGTATTCAGGACTGATGTGTCTACATACCTTTCTCAACTGTATATTCAGTTGTTTCTGCATATCTGTGTTTTATAGTCTGACTTTGTTGCTTTGCCTTTCAAGTTCTGACCCTGCTGGGTCAGTGTCTAGCCTCTCTGCAAAATTTTACACCTCTGACACGTCAAAGCACCCACCCCCCTCTCGACACTACCCCATTACCAGCTCTCCATTCCCCTGTGGCTTTATGACCATGTGGTATACTATTGTATACCAAAATATTCCGTGGCCAAGTCCTTGGCTTCAACTAAGTAAATTAAAAATATTGATGTTTAAAATATCTACTATTTTTTGTAGCCTCTAAGGACATTAATTGAAAGTTAATATAGGGAAAATAAAGTAAAACACATAATTCTGCTGAAAAGTGAATGTAAATTTAGACCAAAGAATAATAGAATGTTTTTTCGTTTGTTTGTTTTTTTAAAATTACCTGGTTTTCTGTTTAATGTGTTAGTATTTTAGATAGATAGATTCACGATGCATAATCATTGATGCATAATAACTACCAGTTAAAAAGGGAAGCATATCAAATCAAGTAAATGTCTTTGTGTAAGAGTTGGCGTGCATTATTTTAAGACACCACAGCTAGATTCCCTACTGTGTAACTCATAAAGAAAAATTCATTCAGTTTCCATTATATTTGGCTTTCTTTCCTCCCTTTAGAAAATGTCTCAACTGTGTTCTTTGTACATGTGTTCAAATTTACTGTTGGAAACTGTCTTCTTAGGAATAAAAAATGAAAGATCTGCTCAAGCCTGAGCCTGACATTAAATGTACAGCGCATTTTGTCATGTTGCAGCGTTATGCTCAAATTAAAAGAAAAAAAAAAATCCACTCATCAATCTGCACTCAATATAGCATAATGATAAAGCGAGAACAGAATTTTAGAAATTTTCACATTGACATAAGTATTCAGGCCCTTTGCGATGTGCCAATTCTCTTGAGCATCTTTGAGTTGTTTCTAAACCTTGATTGGAGTCCATTTGTGTGGAACCACTGAAGGTTCCCAAGAGCACAGTGGCCTCCATAATTCTTAAATTAAAAAAAGGTGTTAAGGCTAAATTTACAACAGGTGGAGTCCAATCAAGGTATGGAAATATCTCAAAGATGATCAAGAGAAATGGGAGGCAACTGAGCTAAATTTCAAGTGTCATAGCAAAGGGTCTGAATACTTATGTCAATGTTATGTCGGAACACTTTCCCAATGCTCAGTATCTCACAGTATTCCTTATTTCTATAATGGCAGATTAGGCCTTTGCAGTAATGCTGATGTTGCTTGTATGCATTGCTACAAACTTAGCCTCTAATTAGCATGCACACAGTAGTTGCCTGCTTGTTGTTTACAAATATTACAAGGGCCTATAAGCAAGCTAGACAAGGGGGAGGAGTATGTACTGACTACGCCTCTGGATAGCACAGTGTAGATCGTTCAAGATGAAGTTAATCAGAGCCCTAAAAAACTTCATTGCTCATCCCTCCCTTCGCAGAATTGCCAAGCCTCCCTTGACCTCCTCCTGAGGAGCGCTAGACAGCAGCATTCCTCCTTCCTGAGGTCATCTTTCTTCCGCTCCTCTCTTCCCTCTTCCTCCTCACCACCACTATCCACAACAGCAGTCAGACTTCAGGGATAGATGGTAGAACACTCTTGCCAGATCACGACTACGCCCACACTGAGAAGGATAATTCCGAAAATGCAGTTTACATGTGAAAACAACTCGTGTTTTCAGGTCATTTTTGTGAAGAGCTCCATCCTCACTGGGACACCACAACAAAAAGAAAACAACAAAGTCTTTTCTTCTTGTTCCTCCTCTTCTTTTAGTTTGCAAACAACAACATTTTGAAATACAGCCATCATTTATAAGGAATGAAACAAATGCGGCCCAATAACTTCATTCTGTCACTTCATGTTGCTTTTTATGATCGATTATACTGTTTGGCTGCAGCCAAACAAACAGATTTGTTGTTGACATATTTTACAGTGCTATAATTAGAGGATTAATCAGTTAGTTAACTCCCGCAAACAAATTCAAAGTGTCAACTTGCTTAAATGTAAGGATATGCTGTCATGGCTTTTGGACAGTTGGTCAGACAAGAAATTTGATGAGGTTATTTAGGGCTCTGAGTAATTTATTGACTAATTGTATAATCAATAATGAAAATAATAATTAGTTGCAGGTCTAAGATTTTTATGTGTTTATGTTTATGTCAGACGGTGATTTAATTGTGGCTAATAAGTTCTACCTGTTGCCCAAAGTGAAAAGAAATTTGAGAAAGTTAATTAGTTATTTTAGGCAACAACATCTGAAAGCATAACATAAAACGTTTTACACAACAGCAGCAGAACTATGATCAGCTTTATCGGCATTCAAAATGAGCAATCACAGAGGAGGTACATGAAAACTTTTTTCATCATTACTTCCACATAGCACCATACCATGTCTAAGAAGGCCTGCATTATACTTAACACACTGGTAAGCACTTTTGGTGAAAAAAAAATATATATATATATATATATATATTTATATATATTGTTGGGTCTGAAAGTACCCCCTTATAATTTACCGAAGGTCAAAACATGGCCAAACAAATTTAGCTAAGTCAGGTGGTCTTTTTGTGTCTTTGACATTGTAGCTTACTTTAATGTGCTCAAACGGAGTCACTCTATCTTCTTTTGCAGCCCTCTAGGATATTAATTGTTCTGGCAGCCATACCATTCCCATTGGGTCAGTTTTGCGACACAGTAATGATGGTCAGGTTTTGTGAACTTTGAAGGAAGGTGTGAGCTGAGGCATGTAGAGTGGGTTGCAAAAGGAGACAGTGATGTGCACAGATCTTCAGCCCACGCATCTTTTCCCTCAGCAGGTTTTAACACACAGAGATTTGTCTTTCAGTCTCCCAGACTCACACTGGCTCTGAGTAAAACCAGCAGACAGAAGCTGCCTAACTGATTAAAGCAATATGTAACAAATGTGCCAGCTGGACAGAGTCGACAGACAGAGCATTGTACACCGTAGTATGTTCATACCATATATTTAGGAGTCTCTCTTGCTTAATACAAAGCATTGACAAAACATCCTGTTGGCCACTTCCTGCCTCTTCTCCCATAACTTCCTGTTTATGCAATTTTTGTGAGTCCCTAAACAGAACATTTTTTTTCAGTCTAACATGCTATGGTCAACCATACCTGGTCAGACTGGTTAGAGTGGTTCATCTTGTTGTGGAGTGTGTCGGCTGACTGAACCAGACAGTCTCTTTGTTTTGCTGTTAGCTTACACTGTAGTATTGTCTGCCTGCCATATCCAAAACCTAACTCTATTATCACCTGACATTTACGTTTGATGTGGTCCCCTCCCGTGGCTCAGGTAGGCAGTCTATTCATCGGGTGACTATCCCTAGCTAGCTTGTATTCTTTTTTTATTCTCCTTGTCTCTTATCTTGTTAGTCAAGTTTCAAGCAGTAAGGAGAGTAAGGTTTCAACCCTGTCTGTAAGCTGAGTAATATCATTTTACTGAGACACATAAAGGCCCCAGCAATGTTCCCTAAATAGACATCCAACAGAAAGACATACTATAGGAGCAGGCACACAGTGTTGTGTAATTGTTTGTTCATTTGTGTAATTCAGTAATCCACATGTGACACATATTTTTGGTTCACATGTTGTATAATCATAGGGGCCACACTTTAATGAAGCCGTCTACCATTTTGATCTTTATCTTTCCTTAAATTCTCATGTTGATTAACCAAACACAAACCGTATGAAAGCAAATAACATCCCTTACTTTATAAGCATGTGGAACAAATTTTGTATGTAGCTGTGTTCCCACAGCATCCCATCAAATTAAAATCATACTTTTTTGCACAGGCAGTAGTTGCTGGGTTAAGAATTTGTCATTTTTGCCTCTCTGGTATAGCTTAAAAGTCAGATGAAGATCATCCCTGCTCCAAATGTGTATGTAAACAAACTGCCCCATCTGCATTTTGTGAACCTGGAGTCTGATCTATGAGCAGGCTGTTCGCTGCCGCTGATGATGAATCTTCTATTAGAGACTTCGGCCTTGTGTGTGTTGTTTAGTAGCATGCCTCTGCATGGGTGCATCAGGGTAATAACTGCCTTCCTGGTTCCTAGTCTTGTAAACATAGTATGGAAAGGCAAGCGTAGCACTTTCTCTGTTGTGCTGCTCAAAAAACATGTTTGGACTGCTTCTGTGGTTCCTGCTGTTAAAGACTTAGCAGAAGGAATGTGTCTAAATGGCAAATGCTTTGGAGAACGTGAGAGTGTATCAAAGAGGGGTGGGGGCACATTAGCTGTAAGTACTCACAGATGTTAGTGAAAGTTCATCAGCTCTGTACTTGTGACTGGAAAAATATTTTCCTGGAAAGCCTTTAGCCACCGGAAGCGTGAGCCGCCATGCTTCCTCCTTGCCTTATTTACTTGTGTTTTTGTGGCCTTGAGCAAGGAGGCCAGATATGGAATGAGAAAAGTGCCACAGAAATCACGCAGAGACAGCGCTCTACTGGTTTCGCCATACGTGCACATTTGAAGTTTCTCTCTTTGTCGTAGGAGTCTGTATTGTTGATAGCGCTGACTCGCTGTGGGAACTGTTCCCCCTCAGTGATAAAGTGTTACAGTCATACGTAGCTTTACCCTCCATAAGGGTCATCAAATGGTATGTTGCCACTGAAAATAATTGCTGGGTGTGTCTTAGTGGAGCAGCTGCTTTTGTCCAGTAGCGCTGTGTCTCCAGTAAGCCTGGCAGGCACGCAGGCAGGCATGTGGTGACCTTGGCAAGGCCATGTTGAATTGAAATGTACACCGACTATTTCGTAATAACTGTGGTTCTGCCAAGTCACACCCTCTTTCATCTCTTCTCAATTCAGGGTGATTGGCTTGGAGACAGACACATACATAAACACACTGCCTGTTGGCCCCTCCCTTTCTCAGGGGCAGCTGGGTAATAATACAAAAGTCACCCCCCCGCTACCACCAAATCCCTCACAAACTGGGCTACATATTCAGTATGTAGTATATGAGCAAGGATGTTTTTTTGTTTTGTGTTTTTAATAGAGGCTTATTTAGATGGTAGCCAAGTGTTTTTTGCAGTGGACATTCTAAAAGAGGGCAAAGTGGGGGTAGAAATGACAGCACTATTTGTTAAATAATTGTAAATTTAATACTTTTTGCTTCATTGTCTTTTCTTCTTTCCACCAAAGAAACATTTAAAATGTGTCTGATTGTTGTGACATGTTTAATGTGCTTTTGAAGATTGTCATAACAGTGAAAGCTTGTCAGGTATAGGAAATATAAAGAGCACAAAGAAAGAGATGGATAATCAGTTTACCCAATGAATAATTACGCTATAATATTGAATGTGACCTATTATTCTCCTCTTCCATATGGTTCATTAAACTAGATTTGTTTGTGTGTGCGTGAATGAACGTGTATATGTCTCTATGCAGCCCAATAAAATTAATCTTGCTTCTTTCCTATCACTTTCATTACAGAGAAACCAGGTCCAGAGCGGAAGCGCATTAAAAAGGAGCCCACCAACACCCGGAAGGCGGGCTTGCCGTTTGGAATGGGGATGCCAGGGATCCGGGCCGGGTACCCCCTCTCTGAGCGGCAGCAGGTGGCCTTGCTCATGCAAATGACAGCTGAGGAGTCCGTCAACAGTCCAGGTGCGTGCTTATCATGGAGACCACGTCTTCAGTGGATGGGTTGCACACAAGGAAAGAGGGATGGGAGGGAGCTTTATATGTAGACAGTGTTTGTGTGTGTGTTTGTGGGGGAGAGCAATGAAGGTGGGCTTAAAGAGAGAGCAGCAGGGGGGTGAGGCATGGGACTGATTGTTTTTGTTTATTTTCTCTATTGCCTCTGGACATGGGCAGTTGCTGAATTTGAGTTTAGTTATACAAGCTAATCTACATTCATTTTCATTACAGCTGCAATGTAAACCTATGCTGTCAGTGGAAGTGGTTGTTTTTCTTAGCAGCTGTAATCGTGACATGATAGTTCATCTACAGTAGTGGAATTATTTTTCTAAAATAAGCATGGGACTGTCAAGGAAATGAAACCTCCCCTGTTGGTATTGCGTTAGTCTAATGGTGCAATCTCAGCATCTGAGTCAAATCACAGTACACATCCAGATATAAAAGGCCTGCAAGCCTTTATTATTGTTTTCTGTTGTTTGTTAATTATTCAATAAATTTACAACCTCCTTATGTCCTCTCAAATGGTACATTTATTTTTGGTAGATAGTCATTTGGCCATAAATGTATTAGATACCTTAAATAGTATTATTGTTACAACACTGTACTTTTTCTGTTACTGTTGACATTTCAGATAGAATTAGGTTGGTGAAGACCAATGCATAGCCACTTTTATTTATATGTTAATCCTTTTTTTGCATGCCTGAAGGCATTGACATAGATTAAGTGAGTGTGTTTCAAATATCATTTGGGACAATAGCTATGCAAACTTAATAATGTAAATGTGATTAAGGCTTGGGTTTAATCTTGTAAATGTGATGAAATGAGCTCAAGTGAAGTATGTCCAACCACTTTGCTGCTGATTCTTAGAGTGAGACTGCCCCCTTCTGGCTGTAGGCACATCAAATAAACTGTTATTCATAGTAGAAGTAATAACAAGTAAAAAAAATATACACATTAAAGTAAAATGTGCCATACAAAACTGGTGTTGAAGTAAAGTGTCCATTTCCCACCAACAGACACAACACCAAAGCATCAGTCACAGTCCAGTCTGGGTCAGAAGGGAACGCCAAACTCTGCATCTAAAACCAAAGACAAAGTGAATAAACGGAATGAGAGAGGAGAGACTCGGCTGCACAGAGCAGCAATCCGTGGAGAGGTACGCCGCATCAAGGAGCTCATCAGCGAGGGAGCTGATGTGAATGTAAAAGACTTTGCAGGTGAGAAGCTCTTTTATAGACTGTTGTTTTCTTAGTGCATGAAGCAATATATATATATATATATATATATATATTCATGTATTGTGTACACTCTCACAATTGTTCTTCTTATGTTTAGGCTGGACTGCATTGCATGAAGCGTGCAATAGGGGGTACTATGATGTGGCCAAGCAGCTGCTGGCAGCCGGAGCAGAGGTCAACACCAAGGGTTTGGATGATGACACCCCTCTACACGATGCATCCAACAATGGACATTTCAAGGTGAAAACAAAGTGCATAGTCAGGAAAGGCAGGTCATATCTGAATGCAGTCAATATTATTACCAAAGTAGTAAAGCACAAAATAAAAATTTTAAATTCTGAAGGTGGAACAACAGAACCTGATACCATTAACTTTTTCATGGCTCGTTCATATCATCAAATAATAACTGTGACATTAGTGGTGTATTAAAGTGCCAATCTTGAAGATTTCAGTCTTGGCTGTTTGTAATACTGCAACTATGTAGATATTGCAGTACTTTCATCAGTGGGCCAGAGGCTCAGTCACCATTGTGTTACCTCATTCACCTATAGTGACTTATCAGAAATTTACTTAAATGAAAATCTTAAGAGATTGCCACTATTACTTTGTGTCCCTTGACCTCAAAATTCTGAACCACAAGACTTGATAACATCACCCTGTAAAATAAAATTTATATTAATGAAATATTTTTTGTTTCAGGTGGTTAAACTGCTTTTACGGTATGGAGGGGATCCACGTCAAAGCAACAGGAGAGGTGAAACACCACTGAAGGTTGCCAACTCTCCAACTATGCTGAATCTATTGCTGGGGAAAGGCACTTACACTTCAAGTGAAGAGAGTTCATCGGGTATGTAATATTAAGTCTTTGAGTCACCTAATTACATGGCTGTTATAAGTTTTGTAAGTTATTCATGTAGATGGGGCTGTAAATGTTTTATTAAATTGTGTATTGATTGTGTGTCTCTTTTCTTTCCACAGAATCTTCAGAGGAAGAAGATGCCCCCTCATTTGCCCCGTCCAGCTCTGTCGATGGCAATAACACAGACTCAGAGTTTGAGAAGGGCCTGAAGTTGAAAGGGAAAACCGTAGACCCTCCTAAATCTGCTGTCACACCCATCAAAGACGAATACGAATTTGATGAGGATGATGAGGAGGAACGTGTCCCTCCTGTGGACGATAAGCACCTCTTGAAAAAAGACTTCCGTAAGGACTCGATCAGCAAGGCCAACAGCTTCATCTCCATACCCAAGATGGAGGTGAAAACCTATTCCAAAAGCAACTCGCTCACACCAAAGAAAACTGTCAGGCGGATCATCTCTGACAGTAACAGTTCAGACGAGGATGATAGGACGTTGTGTTTCACGCCAGCGCCTACGCCACGGCAACAAGCCCAGCAAACAAATACCAAGGCTAGAGACTCTGGCAGCATGAGCTCTAAACAACAGAAAGACAAGAATAAAGTCAAAAAGAAGCGGAAGAAGGAGAGTAAAAATAATGTCAGTAAAGAAGTCAGGTTTGGTAAAGTCAACGACAAATTCTGTACATCTGATTCTGATTGTGGAGATATGGAGAGTGAGGATGACAAGGGCTCAAATAGTATAAAGGACTCTTCTGCACAGAGCCTGAAAGACTCCCCTGGCTTTAACGCATCCTCTTCCTCTTCCCATGGAAACTTGAACTCTCAGAAACAAGCACCGTCATTAGCAGAACAGCATCCAAAGCAGTGGAGGACCGATGGATGGAAGACTGTGTCATCTCCGACATGGGACTCAGACGTCAGTTCTCTGTCAGATTCAGTCAGAACAAGACTGTCCAGTGAGTCTGACTACTCCTCTGCTGATTCCAGTGTAGAGTCAATAAAACAAGTTAAGAGGAAAGCACAGGAGAACAAAAAGAAGAATAACAATGCGCACAGTAACACAGTAGAGAAGAAAAATTCTGAGCTCTATAAAAACACCAGTGCAGACAGTGCAGTCTCCAAAACCGACATAGATGGCAAAGTGCTGAAAAAGCATAAAGTGAAGCACAAGCACAAAAATAAGGAGAAGGACAAAGCTCCCAGTCTAGTGCTTAATCAAGACATGAATGAGAAATTTGTCAAGAGCTATTCTTTTGATTTTGATGATTCAAGGCAGAAGTCCCTAATTGTTGAGTCTGAATCACCGGCTGAGAGCAAAGTCAAGTTATCCAAACACGAAAAAGACCATTCAAAAAAGGAGGACAGGCTTTCAAAAAGCAAGTCCGAGGATAAGGATTGGTCATCTGGGAAAGACCTGCATAGAACAGCAAAGGAAGAGAAAAATAAGAAAACAAAGGACTCCACCAAGGACAAGACAAATAAGGAGGAGAGGGAGAAGCCTGTAAAATCTGACAAGGATAGAAATGTCAAAGAGAAGGAGAAACCCAAGGAGGATAAACAAAAAGCTCACAAAGAGGAGAAAAAGAAAAAGTCCAAGGAGAAGTCCTCCTCAAAGGCAGACAGGAAAAGTGAGCAGAAAGAGGAAAAGCATCTAAAAGTGGACAAGGAGAAAAACACCAAGGAGGAGAAAGAGAAATGTAAAAAAGACAAAGCACAGAAAGAAGAGTCTGAGTATGAAGGCTATGACGTTAACAACCGTTTCCTCAACCTGGAGGACACAAAGCTCAGTGCCTCAGATGACCATCATGACAGGTGGGGCTCCGAGATGTCCTCCGACTCCTCCCTATATGGAGACGACAGTTGGGATGCTCCTGTTAAAGAGTACAAGGAATACAAAGCCAACAACGCTGTTAAACTAATTGTTGAAACTGTTAAGGAAGAGACGAGGAGGAAAGAAAACAAAGTCAAGGATAAGAAATCGGATCACAATGAGAAAAGATCAGAGAAAGAAGCCACATCTAGGAAGAAAGACAAAGACTCTTCTGAAAAGACAAATGAAAAGAAAAAAGACTGGTCAGAAAAACAAAAATTAAACTCGAGTCACTCAGTCGAAAAAGAAAAGAAGCGGAAGGAGTCCACAGACACAGTCAAAGACAAAAAAGACAAAGATTCTCTCGAGAACAGCAGAGACCGCAAAGACTCATATGAGTCCATCAAGGAAAGAAAGGACATAAAAATCAAACAGGAATCTTTAAGAGACGAATATGGCAATGATACTTTATTCAAAGACATTGATGCTGGTAAATCGTGTGATATCAGAGAGAGAAACCATTCTGGAAAGGAGAAGGAAAAGAAGGGTGAGGGAACGGAAAAGCGAGAAAAGACAAAAGCGGACAAGCACAAAGAGAAAACAAAAGACAGAGGAGCTGATCAGGAGAAGGAGAAGAGTGAGAAAAGCTCCTCAGAAAAACCTGTCAAAGAAAAGGATGCAGACCGGGGCACTAAAGACAAGAAGGAGGGAGCCAAAGACAAACATAAAGAGTCTCATGGCAAAGACAAAGATCGAAAAATGTCTTCAGAACAGACAAAGGACAAGAAAGAAAAGGCCTTTCAAGACAAACATGCTGATAGGGAGAAAGATTTCTTGGAGTTAAAGAAAGAGGAAAGAAAACCTGAGAAAATCCGGGAGAAGACGTGGTACAAGATAGCAGACATATTCACCGATGAAAGTGATGACGACGAGGACAGCTACAATGGTGGTGTACTCGTGTCTGACTCCATCAGAAAAGACTCAACACCTGATCAGGATGAGCTGGATCACTTCCCCTCAGAAAAAATGAGAAAATCTTCTGCAGAGGCTAAACATAACACAGAAAAGGCAAAAGACAAAGAACACAAAGAAAAGAAGAAGGAAAAGGCCACATTTGACACAGGTAAAGAGAGGAAGGGCTCCCTAGAGAAACACAACAAAGACAAGAAAGATTCTGTAGATGCGAAACATAAGGAGCGAAAAGACAGAATGTCAGTGGACTCGAACCAAGAGAAGAAAAATAAGCAGAAGCTGCTGGACAAAAGGGACACCAGTGAGGAGAAGACAAAAAGCAAATATAAAGACAAGCTGGATCATTCTAAGGAAAGGAAACCCTCAAAAGGCAGTGGTGAGAATGAAAAGTCTCTCTTGGAAAAATTGGAGGAGGAAGCTATGAATGACTATAAGGATGACTCCAATGACAAGAATAGTGAAATCTCCTCCGATAGTTTCACTGACAGAGGTCATGAGCCAGTCCTCACTAGTTACTATGACTCCATCAGTCTGACTGATGTGTCTGAGGACAGGAGAGACTCCCTGTCCATATCTACACCCCAGGACAAGTTCAGAGAGAAAGAGAGGCATCGACATTCATCTTCATCTTCGTCCAAGAAAAGCCATGACAAGGAGAAAGAAAAGGTCAAGAAAGACAAAGGAGACAAACGCGACAAGACAGAGGAGATCAGAGAGTCCTACAGCCGCAGAGAGAGCCTTCCATTCGAGAAAGAGCCCATGCCTTTAGAGGCAGACCCTTACACATTCCCATATGGAGGTAAGGGAGATGGTGAAGACGACTTTGAGAAAACATTGGAATTTGAAAAAGAGATGTCCAAAAAGGACAAAGACAAAACAAGTGGCGTCATCAGTGACAGGATGAAGGACAAAAAGAAAAAGGAGAAACATAAGGAAAAAATTAAGGAGGAGAAGAATAAGTACATTGATGGCTTTGGCTCATTTAAACACTCAAAAGAGGATGTGAAGTCAGGGTTGAAAGACAGCCCACAGGTCACCGTCCTGAAAGACAGGTCAAAAGAAGACAGTCCTAAATTTGATATGAAAAAAGACAGAAATCGGGATACATTGGACAAAGACAACAGAATGGACCACAGTAAATCTAAGGCTAAGGATGAAAATGAAAAGCTCACTCAGTCCAAAGACACGGTGCGGAAAGATAATCGTCCACGTGAAAAACTGCTGGTCGATGGTGATTATCAAATGACGAGTTTTGGTCAGATGTTGAGTCTAAAAGACCAGGAGATCGAAGAGCGCCACAAGAGACACAAAGAAAGGATGAAGCAGATGGAGAAGCTCAGACCCAAGTCAGGGGACCCTAAACTGAAGGACAAAACAAAGTCCACAGAGGAAGTACGGAAAAACCGCAGTGAGCTATCCTCCAAGAAATCCAACAGCCTGGAATCTGGTCTTAAAGAGAAGAAGCTGAAGGATGTGGGTCTCCCGGCCCAAATGATGTCCCCAGGCAGGAAGTTCCAGCCTTCGGATAATCAAAACTCAAAGGACTGGCTGGGTGGCCACCAAATGAAGGAGCACCTCCCCGCCTCTCCCAGACCAGATCAAAACAGGCCAACTGGTGTCCCCACACCAACGTCTGTCATCTCCGGCCCCAGTTATGAGGAAGTAATGCAGACTCCACGTACCCCATCTTGTAGTGCAGAGGATTACCCTGACATTATATTGGATGCGTTGGACTGTCAGAACTCATCAGCTATGACCATGTCAATGAATGCCTGCTCCCCATCCTTCTTTGAAAGGTATGTAGACGTGCAAATGTACTGCAGTTTTGATTATTTAATTGTTTCGCACTCTTTTGAATGCCACATTCATTTTATTTTCTAATGTTTTTCTGTTATCCACCCAGCAGGTACTCTAACTCCCAGAGTTTCCAGGAGGGCACCTGCCCTACCCCTGCAAAGAACCTCCAGCTGCCACTTGTCAGCCGTTCTGCATCGTCAGATGTCCGCAGGCCTCTGGAGGATGAGTTCAAGGCTGAGGCAGACAAGTTCCTTCGACAGCAGACTGATCCAGAGGCTGACTTTGATCCAGCAGCTTCCTCCCAAACTCTAGAGGACAAATCGGCAACAGTGGACAGGCTGGAGTGCATGTCATCTCCCTATTTCTCCCCGATGGGCATGTTGTCCCCTCGGCGGGAGCCAGCCCATCCATCTCCAGATGTGGCAGCACCAGCTCTTGCTAGCACTGAGATCAATGAACACCTTCCTGAAAGTGTGTACAGTTTCTTGCCCAAACCCTCCACGCCAGTTCACAGGCCAGACCCCCAGGAGCCCTGCTTTGACATTGCTGCACCACCAACCCCAGCTCCTGCTGCTTTGCCACCCCTGGACATCGATGACATCTCTGAACCTCACCACAGTGAGCCTAACCTGGTCCTCTCAGATCTTCCTTCTGTCACAGAAGAACAGGAGCAGGAAGAGGAGGATGAAGAAGAGGAGGACGATGAAGAAGAAGGGGATATGGACGAGAGAGCTGATGGAGACCACTGTGCAGTGGAGGAGCCAGAGCAAACAAGGGAGCCATGTTCCTTCTCCCCTCAAGTTGAGGACCCTCTAAGGAAGAGCTGGCCTGCAGAGTCTCCAGACCGACAGGATCCAGAGGTCCACGAGCTCTCCCCCACCCACTCTGCCCCTAACCAAGGAGAGAACTGTTTTGATCACAGTATGGGCTGGAATCCTGATATGGACCTCAAATCACCCCACAGGACATATGGGGAGATAGAAGCTGCCGTCTCCAAAATAACCAGTCCTTACTCCCACTCCGACAGTGACATGCAGCACTTGTCTGGACACCCCTCTGTCACTCCTCCTTATGCTACCTGGAATAGGTGGCACAAAGAGGACCCAGAAGACTTTGACGAGCAGAAGGAGGCTGTGGCTGACATCCCCTCTCCAGAGAGGCAGGACACAGCTATGGATGGAGAACCCAACTATTTAAACACCTCATCGTCCTCCAATAGGCTAGAGTCTTTCTTCCAGGACTGCAACAAACCTAGCATAGAGGATAGTCACCAGATGGACACAGAAACAGAATGTGTAGAACCAGACAGCAGACAGAGTCCACACAGCTTCAGTGCTACCACTGAGGGCCACATGGCTCCAGCTGTGGGCCCTGAGCCTGTGGTGCCCTGGGCAGACCCATTCTCGGCTGATGCAGATGAACTGGATGACCTGGGACCATTCTCCTTGCCTGACCTACCACTACCAGACAAGTCAGAAGAAGCTGAGCCTCGAGACCCTGAACTAGTTGACCACAGCAAAACTGTGTCGACCCACATCAGACATACTATTACTGACAGGGATGACCCAGACATAATGGAGGTTGACCTACCAAGCCTGGCTAAGACGTCATGCCCTGCTGGAGACCTAGGTTTGGCAGAACCTACCGCACAAGATTTAGATGTACCATCACCACATGCCAACTTCCAGCAAGAGTTGGACCCTGAGCCTCAGAGTGTGCCTGTCAACAGCTCTCTGTCTCTTACTCAACAACTGGAAAGAAAAGGACCTTATGTAGGACCTGATGAATCGGACCCCAATATGTTGTATTCATCTATGAAATCAGATGCCGGTCAGCAACATCACATACAGATCCACTCCCTCACTGAGTCGTTACAGTTACCGCTGGATTCAGTGTCTCCTGTCAAGTCAGATGTGAGAGAGGAGGAGATGTCTGAGCCTGTAGCAGAATCTGTGTCATGCAGTCCTCTTCCTCAGCCCCCAGCGGCAGTCACCCCCTCCAGCACAGTGGAACTACCAGACACTGAGGAGACCACAACCAAGCTAACACCGGCAACCCTGACCACTGTGCCCACCACTGTAGATATCCCCAAGAAGGTGGATGAAATCCCTCAAAGGATGACCCGCAATCGCGCCAAGAACAATCCCTCTGCTGCTGCTGTCCCTCCTACCTCCAGCATAATAACCTCGTCTGCCACTGCCACCCCTGTAACGACCAGTCCAGCCGTGAGCATCAACCCAATTCCTACTAGAACCCCAACACCCACCTCAGCTTCTTCCTTCTCCACTCTGAAGAAAGACAAAGAATCTGTGCTTAGTGTCTCCTCTACTGCATCGAATTCAACCCCGGCAGTGTCTGTACCTACTTCTGTCACAACCTCTGCATCAGTGGTTCTCAGTAAGACAGCAAAAGGGCGCCCTCTCCCAGTGGACGAAGAGGAGTCTCAGACCCAGCACCCACGGAAAAGGAAATTTCCACGTTCTGCTGGGCAGCAGGTCCAGGTCCAGCTGGTCAACACGGCAATGCAGCAGACCAGGGAAATGATTCAGCAGACTTTGGCTGTAGTAGTAAATGCCATCAAGCTGGACGATATTGAGCCCTACCACAGTGACCGTTCAAACCCTTACTTTGAGTACCTGCAGATTAGGAAGAAGATTGAGGAAAAGAGGAAGATTCTGTGCTACATCACCCCACAGGCCCCACAGTGTTACGCTGAGTATGTGACCTACACTGGCTCCTACCTGCTGGATGGCAAACCCCTCAGCAAGCTTCACATCCCTGTGGTAAGTTACCATGTTTTACAGGCATACATTGGTGCATGGCAAGAGTTTCTTTTGTTTTCTGGACATAAATACTGTATCTTACTGTATAAATGTAAACAAAACTTGCGTTGTATTTTCTCATCAGATTGCCCCACCTCCATCGTTGTCAGAACCTCTGAAGGAGCTCTTCAGGCAACAGGAGGCAGTAAGAGGAAAGCTCAGGTTGCAGCACAGCATAGAACGGGTAAGGAACATACTCTCTGGACAAGTGCATGTTTTTTCACACATCGCATTTTCTGGGATTATTCTTTATCCTTCATTCACTTAATGCTCACTCACTGTCCCTGCTTTCATACATACAGCTACATGCATGTGCACTGCACGGTATGAGCACTTTCATAAAACATCAAAGCTTATTTTTAATAGAAATGCTACTGAAGTCTGCGTACCCCCTCCTCCTAGGCTGAGCCAGAGAGAACTGCAGACACAAATCTATTTCATCCCTCTCTAATTAAGTGACAACGATTTCTCCAAAAAATATGTAGCTTTACTGACAAATGACCCATTTCTATTAAAGTTCCAACCAGCCCGTGTCCAACTTTCTATATCTAATTTTAATATTCTTTCTCTCTTTTGTTTACTATTCACAGGAGAAGCTGATTGTTTCATGTGAACAGGAGGTTTTAAGGGTCCATTGCAGAGCAGCCAGGACAATAGCCAATCAGGCTGTGCCATTCAGCGCCTGCACCATGCTGTTGGACTCTGAAGTATACAATATGCCATCAGAGAGCCAGGTAGGAAATATGTAAATACCCACTTCAAGTCAATTATAACAGATTTTATTTGAGGCAGCCAATTATTACTTAATCTATTATGTAATCGACATTGTAACTTGGTCTGTGTTCTCAGGGTGATGAGAACAAATCTGTGAGAGATCGCTTCAATGCTCGTCAGTTCATTTCCTGGATCCAGGATGTGGATGATAAATATGACCGCATGAAGGTAAGTGTCAGCACTCTGCAGTGATTCAATATGTGATGTCTCCAGTGAACGGCATTGACACTATAATCTGTGTATGTACCAAGTGCGTTTATGCTTTGCTTCTCCTCCCCCAGACGTGTTTGTTGATGCGGCAACAGCATGAGGCAGCAGCGCTCAACGCAGTGCAAAGGATGGAGTGGCAGTTGAAGGTCCAAGAGCTGGACCCAGCAGGGCACAAGTCCCTCTGTGTCAACGAAGTGCCATCCTTCTACGTGCCAATGGTCGATGTCAATGACGACTTTGTCCTGTTGCCTGCATGACACACCTGTGCTCACAGATAGAGAGCAAACTTCGTCTGAATCACTTCTTCTCAAAGAGACTTCGTTGAACAGAACGAATGGAAAGGGCTAGCAAGTTTGACAGAGGACTTTAGATAAGAAAAAATTATATTCTATAGAAAAAGTAAAGATGAAAAACTTGCTCTCAATTCCCTTCCATGAAGAAGGAAACATGTTTTTACTGGGGAATAAGAAAATACACAACTTGCACTTTCATCCTCAAAGTTTTTACGCTTTTGTTTGATCAGAGTGTGAGAAGCAGAAACAGTTTTTGCTTTGAGACTCTGACATCGGGGCACAACTCCTCAGTGCTCAGTTACGGTGAGACCGGGGACAGAGATATATTTTCTGCGTTCGTTTTTGGTCCCTGCTTCAATAGACCCACCACCACCACCACCATTGGGAGGAGGTATCAGAAAAGAGCTCTCCCAGCAGTGTGGTGCCTGTCCTGAGGGAGGACTGAGGAGAAGACTCCCCTGTTGACCCAGGGCTCCTGGTGGGCCAGGAGAACTACACCGAGTCCAGCGCTGACCCAGAGGAAGTCAACAGAGTTGTTGTGCATCATGTGGATCTTCAGTGTGTATCTACAGCAAGACAGCTGGGATAGACAGACCAGGAAGCTAGAACCAGCCACTGATGGTTTTGGGGCTATAAGATAGTACACCCAGAGGACGCCCCCTCGCTTCTCTGCACCAGGCCTGGCTATACAGTAGTGCAGCAGAGCCTGCAGCAGGTCGGAATACAGCAGAGGGTTAGCGATGTGTGTGCACGTCAGGGCCCAGTGTCTGAGAGGAAGAGACTGACCCTGCAGCCTCTCAGCCTGGCTAAACAGAAGAGGACAGGCATGGATCGCTGAGGACAGACCGGAGTGTTCCTCAGCCACCCCGCTTGCTCCGACACAAACACATCAGACCGCCATGGACTGCAAAAACACCACAGGACAACCAGAAGAAACAAACATAACGAATGTTGAGATTCAAAGAGACTATTGAGAAATTGTGGTTTGGCAGGAGGAGAGAAATATTGTTTTTGTCTATTTCTTTACTTGGGCATTTCATTGTTTCTGAGGAAGTGACTTGAAACACTACAGAGCCAATATTAGTTTAATGGAAAAAAAACAAAAGAAAACTGAAAAAAAGTTGTATTCCGTAAATTATGTACAGTTTTTATATTCGTTAACCAATGTATTCTTGCTGCCTTCTAGATAATTTATTTTGCCACACATTACTGCACAGTTGTAAATAACCTATGTACTGTAATATCACTCAGTTAAGTGTAAAGAAAAAACATAAAAGAAATAAAAATTATCTTTTTATGTACAGTTCACTTTTGGGCAGCACTTTTCCCCCCTTCATATCCATGGGCCAAAATGTGTACACGATTCTGTCAGTATTTGAAAGACTCCAGTGCACAGTTGTATGATCCCATCTCTAGATTCAGTCCAGGGTTAGGTAAGGCATCTCACCTGGATGTGGATCACCACAACACGCAAATAGCTGACAGAGAACACTTCTGGATTAAACCGGCCTTCCACAGGCCAACCATATAGTCCCTCAGATGTAGCAGAATAATTGTTGAGGATTTATTTAAAGAATAGACAGAGGATTATTATTCATTGCTTTACTACACAATTATATCTGAAAAATTTCGAACCAAGAAAATGCCTTTTTCAGTGAAAAAAAAAATGTACTCATTGTTGGGCAAAGTCACATAGATATATATCGGTGGTATGAAAGTTAAGAGAGATGTCATTCACGAGTGATACCATCACGTTAATGTAGTATGGTTTCAAATTCATTTTCCTTGTTTTTAATTTACAAAAATTGGACTAAAATCATTTCTAATCATCACAAAACATCATTGACCAACAAGACATGGGTCTTTCAGCATTTCATCACATGTTCTGTTCTCCCAGCTCGTCTGCTTTTCACATTAAAAATACTGCAGAGCTGTAACAGCCTCTGAAAGGTTTCATTCCATACTGACTTTTAGCATTGTTCCGTCAGTCTGTCTGCCCCTTGTCCAATATTGGAGAGCAGCTTATTTTCTTGGTGCTGTTCCAACTTTACTCACTGGATGGCACCATGGCTCAGTGTGTCAGAAAACTCAAGAACCTTATTTGGCTTTGCATGAGAAACTGTGGCCTTTCACTTGAATGGGTGTTTTTAAATATATTTAAATTTTATTACAGCCCATAGGGAGTTTAATTCCCTTAGTTTGGTAGTCAGTGAAATCATAATAGGCTCAAAAAAACCTTTAGCTCCTCTCAAATTAGCCATCTAATTTTTATCAATGTTTAATCTACAAGGGGTTTGGCTTGTGTTGTCAGGGATTTTAAATGTTAGGTTACTTCCTCATATTACTCTGTTGTGTGGTGACATTTGCCATTAATCGTGTTCTTGTGTTAGGCCCAAGCGGACAGTTACGAGACTTAAATCTTCTCAGAATGAACCAAAAAGTGAACAGACATTAACAGAAACAGTGGAGGGGAAAGAAATACCTTAATGCTGAATAGACCGATTTTTTTTTTCTTTTTGTCCTCAGTTCAACATCCCATTGAAATGTTGATTTGTGATGACCTTTATTGATTCTCTATTTTTAGTGGGTCTTGGTTTTGAAAAGCTTTCCCGACCTACCACATAGGCTGCCTGTCTGTGTGAGAGAGCTGCTCATGTATCCTGATGGCAATATTATCTGAAACTTTTAAGTTATTTACACACTGTCAGTCAGCATAGCTGTGTATGGTATGTCTAGTCAAGTGCAATGGTTGTTGCTATTACACTGTGCAGACAAGGTGGCTAGATGTATAGTCCTGGATATTTTTGAGAGATACACACATCCTGGTTGTTATACATATTACATACATATTTGGATACAAATAGCCAGAAATTTGGTTTTAAACCCCCTTTTGTCTTGATTTTGTTTTTATTTTGTTTGTTTCTTACAGTTTTTGGGAAGAGGGCAGTGGGTGTCTTTTGTTCACAAAATCCTTGTGTGTTTTTTAGCTCAGTGTATGTAGTTTTGAATGTTGTGTTTATCTTAGGGGTTTTTGTTCCTAATTAAAGCATAAACACCAGTGGCATGTCAATCACGTTGCTTATCGAGCAGAATGTATACCGTTATACTATGCCCTGACCGACAACACCCTCTCACTATTGTTTACAAGACATCAAGTGTGTTTCCGTTTCATGTGTCACCTGTTTTTTTTTGTTTTTGTTTTTTTTTTTTTAACGGTTTAAGCCCTACCTTTGTTTTTACTTCTGTAACCAGTCATTTATTTGAACCACAAAGGCTTGAAATGGTGATGGTCGACACAACTGACAGGTGATTTCTCCCCTGGTCTGCGGTACACCGCTGCATAGAGCAATAGACTAAACACATCCATCCACGTTGATTCTCCAGTGTGAATATTCAACTAACAAAAGAGAGATTTCTGGATAAATTGAACACCGACACAAACACACATCAGTCCTCAGATGCACAGTAGAGCACTTGGCCGTGGTGATACAGATGCTAGCCTGACACCACCTCAGTCAGCAACATATTACCTCTACTCTCCTCGCATTCATGTTTATTTTAGATTTGTTATTTGTTGTTTTTTCTTACTGGACATAAATATACATAATTGCTATTTTTTCATTATATAGAATCACGATTTCAAGCCTTTTTTCTAGTTTTTTTTTGTTTTGTTTTGTTTTTTTTGTTTTTTATTAAAACCCAGACTGTAGCTGTTTCTTTGTTCCTTTTTTTAGAATGGAAAATGACTAATAAAAAGCATGGAGAACTACTCTTTAAATGGTGAGAAATAACCTATTTATTATCTTTTTGTTTTTTCTGACACCTGTGGTATGTTTTGAGTTGAAGTTGGTCTCCGCTGTGTAAATTTTCCTCCTTGTAATGCGTGAAAGAGACATACTGTACATAGCTCTGTAAATAAAACCTCCCAGGACGTTTTGCACCCTCCTCTTTGTACTAGTCTGAAAAATTGCGTAGAATGTGGGGTTCTAACAGCAACGAGCTGCGTGCGCTCGCTGCCGGTGATTATGATGTAACAATGTAACATTTTTTTATTTGTACAATGTAGTTTATTTGTGTACATATTGATGGAGCAGCTAAGGGGGAGGGGGGGTGGGGGCAGGTATATGAGGGGGGTTGTTGATGCTATCGTCAGTGCTGTAACAGAAATCCAGTACTTTCACCTCTAGCTGTTGTTGATTTCCTGCAAAAAAATAAAGAAAAAAAGACATAAAAAAATAAAAACGAGAGAACCTGAAAATGAGGATGGATGGCAAAAAAAAGACTAAAACTGAAAAGTAAAAATTCTAAATTGTTATTTTCTACAGTTGCATGTACAGAGAGCGCGAGAACTGCTGTTGTTCCTCAGAGATTATGTTCGTTAATAAAATTTTGAAATATTACCAGCCGCCCTCTGCTTCTTGGTTTTGTGTTTGCACTGTTGATGTCATGATGTAAACGCTGTATTGTGTGCAACTGCATCATAAATTTGCCACTAAACATTTTTCTGATACACTCAAAATATATCCAGTTATAAGAGAAATCTATGCATCTGAAAGTATACCTTTTTAAACAATAGGTAAACATTTAAATAATAATACTGATCTCAATACAGTGTCCAACCAAATTATTATGGTGATCTTGTTTCTGTGGACAGCAGAGTGAGGTAACTGTGTGTTTGGTGTCAGAAATGTGAAGTGTGAGCTAAAGATGTTTCACATTCTGAATGTTAAGAATACTTGTTTTGACACGGCTTTGGTACTTGTAGTAATCCTATAGCCTGGAGCAGTTTGGTCACTCAGCCTGAATGTCTCCGATTTATGTTAGCTGTCATGGAACCATGGACCAACATTTAAAACAGATTTAACCTCAGTATTATTTTTCTGTAACTCATGCCCAGTCCTGTTGCATGACATATTACATGATTTCACCAAACCTTTTTACCTGTTTCCACTGCAATTAACATTATAAACTTCATGGTCACAAGGTAAAAAAAACCTGTTTGTAATGAGTCAACATGTGGATATGCTGTCATTTGTGACAAAAACAAAACAGTTTCTTGTAACTTGTTATCCTTACTCACTGTGAACACGAGTGTTAGTTTTCAGTGTCATTTGAGATTTGATGTTTCACATCAGAGTCAGATGACAAACACAAGTCATCTGCTGAACTAACACGCAGACATAATGTAAAGCCTTTTTACCAACCTCAACTGATCCCCTGATCACACAACTGATAGTGTCAAGTAACACTTAACAGTCCACTCATTGACAGCCCCAGTAAACCTCCACATTACTGAAATTATATGATAAGTAACATGATGCAGCTTATTTATAGAGGGCGTATCGAAACAAAATTACCAAGTACTTTGCCGGGGTAAATCAAGATTACAACATTTCATATATACAGTTAGATGAGCATGTAGATCAGTCTGGGACAAGATCATATTTCAAGTTTTCCGTAATAGGTTAAATAAATGACTAAAGCCATTTCCATTGATATCACCTTTTGTGACATCAGAAACAAAATATTCATAATATCACGGTGATTTAAATCAAAAACTTGGTTTTCAGCCATGTAACAAGAAATATAAATAGACCAGGAAAATATTTAAAGGTGCACTGCACTAATTTTACACATAAGGTTTACATTTGTAACAGAAAGTCTGCATTTTAAACTGCAGGGGGGGATTTGAAATAAAAAAACATTTAGGGGACAGGGAGGGTCTAATGAAATATGCTATTGAAATGCACTATGGGAAACAGAGGATCCAGTGTTTTTGAAGTTCGACTCATACTTGGAACTATAAATGTTAGGACAGGTAGGACACTCTAACTTTTTTTATTACTTAAAAATGAATTTGTGTTTTTCATCAGCTTACCATTGAACCCTCAGTGTCACTCTGGTAACTTTAGCTGCACCTTTCCCAGCTCTGTCTACTCACTCTGCTGCTTTTGGTGACTGAGTAAAAATAGTTTGGACACGGAGATACCCAGGCATGAGTCACTAAGAGCCATCAGGTGTGTTAGAATATCGGTCGATCCTAAACCCCCATGCTGCCTGAGCCTGAGCCTCCCCCTCCCTCTCCCCCTCCTCCCCCAGCACGCTTTACCTGCTGCTGCCTCTCGCTGCCGTGGAGTGTAAGCACTCACTGCGCCATGGCCACAGACACGACTGAAACCTCGCACACTCGTCCTCAAATGGACTACGACACGAAGATTTTCCCTCACTCCGGCGGCTATGGACGCTATAACCGACTCGTGGTCGTATTTAGCTGGTTCCCCAACTTCGCGGTCATGCTGAATCTAATCAGCGACGTTTTTTACACCCTAATCCCGGACACGTACCACTGCAAGCCGGACCCGCAGCTTCTGCCCTCCACTTTCCTCCTCAGCAACTTCTCCAGACAGGGATACCTCAACCTCACCATCCCCTGGGTGAACGGCACCGGCCTCAGCCACTGCGAACTCTTCAAGTACCCACCCAACACCTCCGACCTCTCCGAAAATGTGCCCAGGGAGAGGGTGTCCTGCACCAGGGGGTGGGAGTTCGCCCATGCAGCGGGGCTCCAGAGCAACTTTGTCACTGAGGTAAGAGACTGTCCATCCTTTGCAGGTCATCATTAAGTCTTGTGTTCTTGCCTGGCTTATATGTGGACTTAGGGATGAAGTGGAGGACAAACTGATCTGCAGTTTGACTGCAGGTTGTCGGTTCCATCCACGTTTTCATTCACCCCACCACTAGATTTGGTTAGTACCGACTATCGCATGCAATACTTCTAGAGTCTAGAGAAACTTTCCCCTTCATCTTGTCATTTCAACTGTTCATTTATCTCAGTTTCCGCTCAAGTGAAGGGAGGTATCTGCAGGAAGCATATGCGGTCATGAAGACGGCTGTTGGCACCATTCAGTCAATATTTGCTCAAACTTTTCTGCTCTTTCACTCTGACTAATCTGCTGCCAGGCACACCGTTTCTCGGGGTCATAGATAAAGACTCAGTCTGGCATGTACAGTATTTATACATGTATTTCAACCAGGCTTAAAAAAAAGAACTGATTCTGAGGAAGCTTGTGAAGATAAAAAGTTAAGTCTAGTGCGGTTTGCATCCAAGATCTTTCAGCTTTTGGTTTATGAGAGCTGAGCGTGGATCGTCTCTGACTGTCTCTTTCATACTGTCACCAGAGCCTAAACACAGACAGAAGGTTTCAGCCAGAATGTGTCTTGTTGTGCAACATGTGTAAATAAGCAGCAGAAACGTGTTAATCTTCTTTTCAGTCTGTTTCATAGGTCTTGTGTTGCTCAAGGATCCACCTCAGTCTGCAAATATTGATAACATATCCTCACCACATCTGTTTTCTTGCAGTACTTTGTAACACAGACTGACCAGTAGCCAAAGTCATTATGGGTAATTGCCCCTCAATTTTTGCTCTGATTATTGTCTGTGCATTGTGGCGTCACTGGAATAGATACTGGCAGTGAGGAGACCTTTATTTTTTTTTCCTCCTCTTCCCCACCATGACAAACGGAGGCACACGGAAATCCGAGGTCTCCATGTTCCTTTCTGAGACCCTGAACACCTCCCTCATCAACAGTTTCCTCTGTCCATGACGTCACTCACTGGGACAAAGGAAAACGTTATTAAAGGAGAACTTGTATAAACTCCAACAGTGCTCATCAGTCTGAAATACACAAAATAACAAACACTTCGGAGTTGAGTCCTATACTATCAACTGGTAAAGCTAATGGCCTTTTTTTTTTTTTTTTGTGAGACAAAGGCGTAGATTTAAGGCCGATTGTTTATAGCCTTGATGTTGGTGAGGGTCCACCTGTGACCACTCCTCATGTTTGCAAAAGTGTTTTTCATTAGCTTGACCTATTTTGTCACATTTTTTTTGTTTGTTTGTTTTGTTTTGTTTTGATTCTTGTTACCTTACCAAAGTTTTGCTGTGTTTGGGACCAGTGTTCCAGCTGTTCTGACAACAAACATCTGGCCTGCTTGTACCCCTTGAATCAGGCCTGGAATACCAACTGTGAAAGATGGAGGCTCCAGACTTCCAAAGCTCCTTCAATAGCCCCAGGTTCACTGTGTGCTAATTGTTTGTTGGTCTGGTAACATACAACAACCAAAGCACAATATCATTTGGCTTTATAAAGACTAAAAGATGGGTCTTGCTTTTAAGAGGAACACTGTTGAAATCTGGTTTAAAGACCTCCACGAAAAGGTGGTCTCACACCAAAGCTGTTCTTTATACTACAAGTGTTGCCGGAGTTTAGACATTGACCTTCATGCAGTTTGAAGTAGCTGAAATTGTGTCCAAAATCCCTGCTCTGATACGACAGGGGTCCAGCGGGTGGAGTTTGCTTTGGGACCCTGTAGGAAATAAATCTGGCCATGTCTCTAATTTGGGTTATATCGCGTTCAAAACTCAGTTAATTGTTAGATCTCTTCTAAAGTTGACATGTACCATTAATCAGTTCTCAGAGTAATAGTTTGCTTGTGTAGCCATTTTGTGTTTCTGACTCACTGTGTTGTAATCGCTGCCTGAATTTCTGGTGCTTCCAACTCTGTCAAATTACTGTGTGTTATGTGATAACAAAAAGTCTCAAAAATCATGATATTATGCCAAGCACGGGAGAAACACATTAGCAAAGCAGCAATCGTAACAAGTGGACCCTCACTACCTGAAAAATACCTGAAGGATATTATCTGTATGAGCTTCACCATTTCCCCTGAGGAAGATGTTGGGTTGAAATATTGCTGTTTGACATAAGCTCTGATTCTAGTGTGCGACTACCTTTCTATTGTATTCTTATTGATTTTTTTTTTTTTCCAGCGCATATCCTCCTTAGGGTTGGACATGTCTTGAAATGTTTGATACTAGAGCTTATGTCACATCAGAGTCAGTACTGATACTGAAATATTTTTAAAAAAAAAATACATTTAAACATTTCTATAACAAACCCTTATTTACTCAACAAACCAAGTCAAACTTCTCATTATGCTAAATGTTATATACAGATCAGCAGAACAGTTTTTTTTATTTTGCCAGTTTATTAGGAACACCTAACTAAAACGAATACAGTCTAATACAACAGTCCTGCAATAAATCCTCCCTCATGTAGGTTATAATGTTCATTTTGTGTTAAAACTGCTTTTGAGAGGTGTTGACGTTTTGGAGGCTACACTTTGTGGTGCTGAACTGTACTGTTTTATCCTGACAGGTGTTTCTATTATTTTGTCCAATCTATTTCTATCAACAAGGGTAGACTGAATAACAGAAACACCTCTCCGTATAGTGCAATTACACAGTTGGTAAAATTTAAATCACAAAGAATACATTCAGAAAACCTAGGTATGCATTTAATACTGAGTTTTGTTACATATCAATTGTTTATACTCTGTCCAACAGGCACGTTTGAATCAATACCAAAAAGTATAGTAGTAAGTGTTAAGGTTTGATACCCAGCACTAATCCCTTTTAAGGTTTTGTGGTGTCTGTCCTCAATTCTCACTTTTATTGAATACAACTAATTCGTTTTGATTCTTTGATCCAAAACATTGTAGCCCTGTGTATCTGTAAAACGCTCACTGTAATGAATCACCATGACTGCATATGCGCAGCAAAGCAGAGGAGACAAAATAAGAGGGGGCGAAGAATTTTCTTACAGGCAGGGACTGGTACTAACCAGGCGCAGAGCTGCTGGCAGGCTCTACTTTGAGCTCTACTTTGTTCTAATGTAATAACACTGTCAGCAGACATTTTAACTCAATTAGGAAGGACATGATCTACATTCCTGCTTCCTCACAGAAATCTCTCTGTGTTTGTGACTTGACTGGTAGCCTGCTATTCTCTGCATGTTATGTAGTCAAATTACAATGAATGCAACATGTTGGTGACAATTTGTTCTTGTGCCTTTTTTTTTTATAAGTTTTTACTTATATTAATAATGTTTTATACAGAAATGGTTATCCACATATTTAAGATTTATAGACTCCACTGAAAGCACTGAAGGGTTATTTGGTGTGTGATTTGATTTGATTCTTTTTTTTCTAATCTACTTCACTCCCGGACATTTTCTGAAACTCACAAGTTTTTAGTTTGACTTCCTGCATTCCAGGTAGCCACTGGTTTCAGCAATGCGATGGATTCAGCGATGGCAATTACGTTGTTGAGATTTGAAGCTTAGTTGAAATAGACCACCAAACCAAACTGAGACGAAACCTGAAAGAAATTTAAAAACTATTGTTGTTTCAAGGACGATGTGATATCAGAGAGTGTCAGCTGCCAGAAAGCAGTGCATTCTCAACAAGTTGTCAAAGATTCAAATCCAGAAGACGAGTAAGAAGCAAACAATGTTTGGCAGCTGAGTCTCTGCTCAGCTGTGCCATATAACTCCATTGTTGTCCAAAAACTATGAATATGGGCAGTGTCATTTATTTTGAGTTGATCCCACATACACCATCTGCTGCCATAAACACTTACTAGAGAAGCAAATGTGTATTAATCTGCAGCAGAAAATAATCCTTAACAAACTCACTATTTACTTCTATTTGAGGAACATTTGCTCAAAGCTACAGTGGCCAGACATTTTGGTAAATTACTGAACCTTATTTTAAGAATGAAAGTTGTTACAATATGTGAAATTACTGATCCCCATTAAACACATGGATCATTTTTCTTTAAGGCTCACGAAATGTACAACAGTTTGTCTCTTGTGAAACCTAATCAAGTTACAGTGCTCTCTATTTATGGGACTTTTTTGTCCAAGTTGTTATTGTGTTTTGTTTCGGTCTGAGGATGTGTCAATGTACTTCTTTGTCTTCCTTTGCAGTGGAACCTGGTTTGCAGTGACTACTGGAAAATCCCTTTGCAGCATATCTGCTTCATGACAGGGTGGATTCTGGGATACATCTTCCTTGGTACATTGTGCGACTGGTGAGTAAAGATCACATCCAATATGGAACCCTAAGGTGTTCTACATTGAATGAATAAAACTAAAAACATTTAAACATGACTAAATTGTGTAGTTTATATAAATGAACCAAGCGTGAAATAATCAAAGAACTTACTAAACCTGAACTTACGTCATTTCATTTTCATAATACGATAGCTGTAGCTAAAAGGTGCTGTCTGGTTGCAGTTTTTGTACTTGCTATCTTAACAGACAAGGGTCATGTTATTAGTTGAAAGGTGAGAGGGTGTTGACAATGCCACTGTCATTGAAAGTGAAATTATGAAACAAAAAGTGACATAGGGGAAAATAAAATTATGAAATAAAAATTGACTTTTGAAAAAGTGCAAAATTACTAATATAAAACATAAATTAACTCCCATGAAATTATGTTATTATTAAAATAAGAATAATAAAATAACATTTTAAAAGAATGAGTTGAGTTTTAGTAATATTTTAAAATATTCCACAAATTATTGTTTTGTTTATATGTTTTGCAGAATTTATTTATATGACTTTTATTTTATAGTTACTTATATTGAAGACTCTGGCCCTCCGTAATTTCGCTTGTGAATGTTTTGTGATGGTGTATGTGTGTTTGCAGGTTGGGTCGTCGACGAGGTTTCCTCTTCTCCATTAGTCTGGCCAGTCTGTTGGGGGTTGCCGTGTGTTTGTCCGGCAGCGCTGTGGTGTTTCTTCTGCTGCGTCTGTCTCAAGGCGCCATGCTCGCTGGGGTGTTTGTGTCCTCGTACATCATCAGTGAGTATCCTGCACACACACAGTTAAGCTTCCTGCAGGCTCATTCAGCCAAAGACTTCTCTGGAAAAAGAGCAACCTCAGCTTGTTCACACTCAGCGACTCACTTCTTTGTTTACTTTAGAGAGCACTGCTGGATTCCTGCACTTCACTCTGAGTCATTCGCTGCCACTGTGTTTATGCAAATGTAATGGTTTTGTTAGAGCCCATTTTTCTTTTTTTGAAATACCATTTGTTATAGCGATTTTAATTTTGACAAATTATAGAAAAGTAAATGATACTGAGTAGCAAAACAAACACAAATGTGATAAATAATAAGAATGATGAGAAGCAGGCGATAAAGAGAAGGTTAGACACATAAACACTACTGTATATCCAGCTGTCCACAATCCAAGACGTGGTGCTGTTAACGTCAAAGTTTCATTAGCGGAAAAATCCTGTAATTCACACGTCACACTTGGTCTCATTGTTGTATAAGAGTACTGTCAGTGATTATCATTTCATTTAAATAATAAGATTTATCATTTCATGGTTTTGCTGCAACCATTGTGTGTGAAGCTGAACAGATGATATGCACAGCTTTGTTTTCAAGGTCATAAAAAAAGAGAGATGTATGTATGTGTCTATTACATACTGTATGTTTTCTCTTGCAGAATCTAATGTTATGTAAATGTTACATAATGTTAATGTTATAAATTGCGTACATGTAGGTTCCCGAGTTTGTGTTCACTCAGACAACAACTGTACATTTTTTAGTGCTTTACTCAGAGAAAACAAACAAACCAAAAAAGCAACATTCAGATTTCTTTCTACCTGGCTTCCTGGTGAGCTCCTGTATCTTATCAGTCAAAGATAAGAAAAATCCCACTGTGCCCTTACAGACGCAAATTACAAATCCTGCCTATCTTTGTATCACCATCTTATCTTTACTCTAGGAAACACAAACAACTGAAGTCAGACACTTTTTATTTCTGATGTCAGAAAGTCAAGAACAAGAGCTGAAGTCAGGTTTAATGTATATGCTGTACGATTTACCCGTGACAAATGGTTTTGCCGTCTGTGGTTTCCATGTGATAGGAGCTGACTGTAACAGTATCTCTGCTATATCACCAGTGAGATTCATGATTTCCTCTTACCTTTTGAAAAGATTAATGAAGTTTAGCTACAAGACACAAACTTTATATTAAATTTAACTGGACTTTTTTCCACGAAAGCTGCCTCGTCAGTGTAAAGGTTATTGAGCACACTTTTTATCATTATGAATTAAACAGTATGTTATGTAAAGAGAGGCTGCAGATACACATAATCACATAATGTTGGGTAGGTCACCACATCCCATCTCTTGTTCATGTGATGTTTCATTTTATCTTATGACCTTATGACAAAGCTGAGCGTATTATCTGTTCAGCTTCCATCATTCTGATTCAGATAGCGTACAAAATTGATTTAATTACTTTCATAAGATCATATCCACAAGTCAGACAAAGGCTGGTTTATTACATTAAAGTAGTACAGAACAGTGTGGTGGTTGCACAGATTTTTCTTTTTGTTGGGTGTAAAGGTCATAACTTAAAAACTGTTGATTTTACTTAATTCAACATAACTGTCCTTGTATTAATTAATTCTACAACATTTTCAGGCATCTTGGACAAACTTGAAAATGTGTGTCTGTCCTGCTAAAGACAAGATGTTTTCTTAATCACAGAAAAATAGAGATTTGGCAGATCCATTTTATAAAAGCAGTATGAATAATGGACAGTATAAGCCAGTTTAGAAATGGCTCAACAACAACTACTGCAGCATAAAGCCTGCAAGTCTGCAGGTATCATTTCAGCTAAATTACTTGTAACCTCTACACGACCTTTGGACCAGTGCCCACATCTCTGATTTGTTCAGTGATTGTCAAAATGGCAGTTGAGCCTGATTTGTCAGGCACTAAGAACACTAAGAAAATGAAAGCAAATACTTTTTTGTGATTAGCCTGAAATGTTAGACACTAACATAAAAGTTGCATGACTGTCCAGTAAACACTGGTGAGGTAGTTTTTTAGTTTAAAATAATCACAGTCAGCAGTTTCGCTCCCTGGTCACATTGCAGCAGAATTAGGCACATTTTCACAACCACAGACGTTTCTGAACTAATGTTCCACAATGCACAAGGAAAATTGAGGAGCTACACACAGTTACAATGAACAAAAAGTTACAATGAACAATTAAAACAAATTGTGGATGTTGTAAATACCTTAGAAAGAAAAAATACCTATTAAAACCTTAGGAAAACATTTTGATCTCTATTTGTTTTCGTGTAAAGTTGTTAAGATTTCATTCCTGGTTGATGTGACATCCGTGGTCACGGTAACAGCGAGTGCAACAAACACTGAGCAGCCAAACAAACTCATGTTGTTTTAATAAAGACGTCAGTCAATAATAAATGCAAACACGATCTGATTTCATGGTGCACACACCACGAGTAGTTTTCCAAAATAAAATACAAGTAGCGCTGCAGGACTCACTGCATTGCATCCTGTCAATCCCTCGCGCATTTGAAGGCAATACAGAAGTAACTACAGAATGTAAATGCATCGAATGGTTATTACTAAAAAATGACTTAAATTGGAATCGACAATTTAAAGCTGAAGTTTGATTGACGTGACGTGTTCTATATTTTCCTGTTAGTGTAAAACTCTTATGTGTGTTAATAAGCAATATATACTGTACACAGATAGTATGTAGATTGGAATTGGGACACACTGTAGTGCTGCAGGTCTTTCAGTCATAAGTCATGCAAATTGAATGACCATTGCTGTAGGCTACATGTTTTAAATGCCCTCGTAAAATGAAAGATACCAATTTAGATTACTGCTTTGCGCAGGTGTGTGTATGACTGTGTACAGCACAGTTGCTTTGGGAATTTCAGCTGATGACTGACTGAAGTGTGTTATACTAAACTCTGACTGACAGCAGGCAGCTGGTTGGGGTTTTTTTTTTTACTTCTACCTCTCAGCTGTTCTCTTTTAGGGGCTCTCTGGTGTACCCACCTCTCTGTGACAAATATTAAGCTCCCTGTCTTCAGCGTTACTCTGTGTATAATGAGATGACTCTGGCTGGTAGGCATACATAGTTTCTCAAATACAGTGTGTTTTCCTTCTGGAACTGTCTAAAACAAGGATGAAGCAGCATGGGAATGTAATTACGTGAGCATTTGTAGAAATAGTATACATTCCTGCTTGGGAGGAGGCGATACTAGGTACTAGAGTGTTAAAGTGGCCCCATCCGAAATACACACACACACACACACACACACATACACTTCTTTTTGTTTTTGCCATACAAACATACTCCCACATTCCTGCGTGGTCAGGGTTAGATTAAGTCCAGATTTTTGGAGGGTGGGGGGCCGGGTTTAGGATAGGCAGACATTGAGCTGAGCGGGACAAGGGCCTGTGAGAAATGTTTCTCAGTGATGTCCTGCCAGTGCTGGTCCTCCACAGAGAGGAGAAAACAATAGTATAGGACAGAACTGAAGGCAAGGAAGTGAGCAGGAAGTGAGCTCCTCATTTTCTTTCCCAGAGGAGATGGAAACAGGGCCAGAGCTGTGGGGGAAGGAAGTTAAAGGTCAGCAAAAAACTCACACAGCTGGACACACTCTCACACAAGTTTACGTCAATACCTGAGGTTCAGAGTACTTTATCACATCCTAGCAGTGTTATCTAGCTTGTTGAACATTGCATTTGTGTTTTTTCCAGACAGAAATCAGCAGATAGATCTAAATGCTACGTTATAGGACACTTGATTACCCTGTTCTGTGTTTTTGCAAGAGGGTCCAACTGTGGACCACACATCTGTGAGCTGATGGGAAAATGTAGCTCCTTTTTGCTCAATAAGAAGACAACAGTATCTTCTGTATTTAGAAAAAAAAAAAAAAAAAGTACTATAAGTGAAGTAAAAATCCAAGAATGCCACACAAACAGCAAAATGTTCAGGTCTTACTGGGCAGATTTATCTTCAGTCTAGTATAAAGACATCTTTTAACATTAGCGAATAGGATCCAACTTAATGCTAACATTAAACTATGTCTAAGCTAATGCACTGTTACCCGGTTGTACATGGTGATATTTTTTTCTTTTTTTAAGGTTTCATCCTGAGCCAGAAAGACTTAGAAATAGAAAATATGTTTTTTAACTATATTTTATGTGTACATTATTTAAGCAGTATGAGTTCAGGTTCACATAATTCAATTCAATTAAACACTGACAGCACAAGAAAGGTTTGTGTTTTCATGTTTTCACACATTTCGTTAACACTACTTAACGTCTAACAGAAATTATCATCACGTCTGGGAACCCTGCTCTCTTCCCATGAAGTCACGGGCCCCCAGACATGAGGTCCGCATTTGGAACCTCTTGGTTTTGTGTTAATATAAAACAAAGCAGTTGATGCATGGGTAGGATTTTATATGCCTCTGTACTGGCAGCAGCTGTGGCCTTGTGCAGATGGGTGGGATATAAACCCTAAACTTGAATGTATGAAATAAATGCAGATGCCTTCGTCAGTGATACTAACCACACACATAACTGTGCTGACATGAAGTTTGAATCATTCAATAAAAACGCATGCAACAACAAGCAGTATCTTTATGTGTGCAGGGTTCATGTCCTGACAGGAAATGGATTTGTTTTGGACAAATGTATTAGTTTGGCTTCAACTGTGTTTTGATGATATCTGTCTTCCCTCACTCTCTTTTCCCATCATTATCTCAGGGTTGGAGCTGTGTGACCCTCCCCATCGTCTCATGGTCGCCATGGTCAGCGGCTTCTTTGCCGTGTTTGCAGAGCTGCTGTTGCCGGGCATCGCTGTGCTGTGCCGCGATTGGCCCGTTCTCCAGGCTGTGGCCACTTTGCCTCTGCTCCTGCTGCTTTCCTATTGGTGGTGAGTCAGGTGGCAATATCTGGGATGCGTAGCTGGACACACCCGTTGTGTATTTGGACATAATTTGATACTGTTGTGTTTGATATGTCTGCAGTTTGTCTGCTCCTGTTTCAAACTCACAGCTTCTAACAGTCACACGTGAATTCACATATAGGCACAAGTTTAAATAGACAAAATCCTCTTACGAAAATTCTTGTGAACACCACTCAGTCAGTTTAGTTATGTATTCAGGAAGTCTCATTGAGCCCATGGCTGCTTTTACAAGAGACACCTGAGAAAAATATTACAAATATACAACTCTATAACAAGACAGTTCAGTCACACAAAGGAGTTATCACACACACAGGCACAGTTAATTAAAGCATTAACAAGTATTATACATCAGCAAGTAGTCCACAGAGGAGTGTCTCTAACTTCAGTTTGTTTTTCAATCCAGTAATAAAGTGTGTTCCCCAGTCTTGAATTTGTAACTTGAAGCATAAACATATCCTGCACTCTCAACTGAAGATGTTAAATATCTTTAGTTGAGTTTATAAGGCAATGCCAAGAAATTGTCCCAGCGCCAACAGCTATTTTTAAATGTAGTTATATGTATTTGTACATGCAATTTTCACCCTCTGTGTCGATGTTACAGAGAATGTCTGAGCTCTGTATCTCTGTGAGATATGATAACGGGAGTTGTTTTCCTCAGCTGTGCGTCAGTGTTTCCTGAGTCTCCTCGCTGGCTGCTCGCCACAGCTCAGATCCCTCAGGTGAAGAGGAGCCTCCAAGAATTCTCCACCAGGAATGGTGTTTGTCTGCGAGATGAAATCTACCCTGGTGAAACCCTGCTCTCAGGTACTCACTCTCACATGCTTTTGTATGCTCATACGCAGACACAAATGTACACTGCAGTCATCAAATTTTCATGAAGTAAAAAGCAGCTGCCCAGTCCTGCATGAACCCCTATTTTATTGAACCATCAAAATATTAGGGAAACAAGTAAGAAAACCAGTATTATCTAGATATAACATTATCTTGAACTTCATGGATGTTTGTCATGAGTTACTACAAAGGAAAAATGTTAGACCTTTTTATAGACACAAAAGACACAAGGCTTTTTCTCCTACTGTACATTGACATAAAACTCAAGCAAGATAGGATCTGTCATATTTTGGAGTTAACTGATCTGAAATGACAAAACTCTCTGTTTTGTTGGTTTATTAGACTAAATCTTGACTAAATATTGAGATTCTAAATTGTCGAAGTGTAAATTAGGATAGCAACTAACAGTAATTTTCATTATCATTTAAATTGCCAAATCATTACTTGATTAATCAGTTAGTCTATAAAAATGTCAGAAAAACGTGAGAACTACCCATCATAGTTTCCTATGCCCCCGGTGTCTTGTTTTGTCCAACCAGCTGTCCAAAAACCAAAGCCATTCAATTTACATTGTTATAAAACCTAAAACCAGAAAATCCTAACAACTGAAAAGTGAGAACCAATACAATTTTTGACATTGGTGCTTGAAAGAATGGCCTATATGATCAAAAAGTTGCATAGTTTTCTGTTGATTGACTAATTGTTTCTGCTTCAATTTAAATAAATCAACCTTAAAATGACCTCCCATATATCCCCACTGGTTTTTGGTTTACTGGAGGACGTTAATGGTAATTGTAGTGGAGAATAGGTCTGTCTGTCTTGAATGCAGAAGTACCTGACTATACCATGACGTTTTGACGTTTTTATGCCTTACTATACTATGACGTTTTTCTAAAGTTGTTATGCCTTACTATACTATGACATTTTATGCCTTACTATACTATGATGTTTTTATGACATTTTTATGCCTTACTATACTATGATGTTTTTATGACATTTTTATGCCTTACTATACTATGACTTTTTTTGGCATTTTAAACCTTACTATACTATGAAATTTTACTGAAATTTTATACCTTACTATTCTATGATGTTTTTTGACATTTTTATGCCTTAGTATACAATGACATTTTATGACGTACTATATTATGATGTTTTATGCCTTACTATACTATGACATTTTATTCCTTACTATTCTATGATGTTTTTTGACATTTTTATGCCTTACTATACAATGACATTTTATGACTTACTATATTATGATGTTTTATGCCTTACTATACCATGCCTTACTATATATTTTTATAACTTACTATACTATGACATTTTATGCCTTACTATACTATGACGTTTTTAGACATTTTTATGCCTTACTATACTATGACATTTTTTGACGTTTTTATGCCTTAATATAATAATGCGTTTTTGGCATTTTTATGCCTTACTATACCATGATGTTTTTATGCCTTGCTATACTATGACGTTTTTTTAAAGTTGTTATGCCTTACTATACTATGACAATTTATGCCTTATTATACTATGACATTTTTTGGCATTTTAAACCTTACTATACTATGTCATTTTAATGCATTACTATATTATAATGTTTTATGCCTTACTATACCATGACCTTTTATGACATTTTATACCTTAATATACTATGACATTTTATGCCTTACTATACTATGATGTTTTTATGACATTTTTATGCCTTACTATACTATGATGTTTTTATGACATTTTTATGCCTTACTATACTATGACGGTTTTTGACGTTTTTATGCCTTACAATACTATGACATTTTTATGACAATTTTTTGCCTTACTATACTATGACATATTTTGGCACTGTACTATGATTTTTTATGACATTTTATGCCTAACTATGCTATGACTGTTAAATAAAATTTAACACCTTACTATACCATGAAATTTTATGCCTTACTATACTATGGTGTTTTTTGACAATTATATCCCTTACTGCACTGTGACCTTTAACACATTTTATGCCTAACTGTACTATGACTTTTTATGCTGTTTTTATACCTCCCTATACTATGAAGTTTTTTGACATTTTTATGACTTACTATACTATGACGTTTTTTGACGTTTTTATGCCTTACTATACTGTGACGTTTTTATGACAATTTATGCCTTATCATACTTTGATGTTTTATGCCTTACTATACTATGACATTTTATGCCTTACTATATTATAACATTTTATGCCATACTATACTGTGGCATTTTTTTTGGCATTTTTTTGCCTTGCTATACTATAACGTATTATGACATTTTATGCCTTACTATACTATGGCGTTTTTTGGCATTTTTATGCCTTGCTGTACTATAACGTTTTTTTTCATGTTTTTATCCCTGACTATGCTATGACATTTTAATGCATTACTATATTATAATGTTTTATGCCTTACTATACTATGACGTTTTTTGACGTTTATATGCCTTACTATACTATGACTTTTTTTGGGCATTTTTATAACTTACTGTACCATGACGTTTTATGACATTTTATGCCATACTATACTATGACATATTTATGAAAATTTTTTGCCTTACTATATTATAACATTTTATGCCATACTATACTGTGGCATTTTTTTTGGCATTTTTTTGCCTTGCTATACTATAACGTATTATGACATTTTATGCCTTGCTATACTATAACGTATTATGACATTTTATGCCTTACTATGCTATGATGTTTTTTGACGTTTTTTTGCCTTACTATACTATGACATTTTTATGAAAATTTTTTGCCTTACAATACTATGATGGTTTTATGCAGTTTTTATAACTTACTATACCATGACATTTTATGCCTTACTATATTATAATGTTTTATGCCTTACTATACTATGACGTTTTTTGACGTTTATATGCCTTACTATACTATGACTTTTTTTGGGCATTTTTATAACTTACTGTACCATGACGTTTTATGACATTTTATGCCATACTATACTATGACATATTTATGAAAATTTTTTGCCTTACAATACTATGACATTTTTTGATGTTTTTATGCTGTACTATACTCTGACGTTTTTATGACATTTTATGCCTTACTATCCTAATTCGCTTTTTTTTGCATTTTTATGCCTTACTAATCTAATTCGCTTTTTTTTGCATTTTTATGCCTTACTAATCTAATTCGCTTTTTTTTGCATTTTTATGCCTTACTAATCTAATTCGCTTTTTTTTGCATTTTTATGCCTTACTAATCTAATTCGCTTTTTTTTGCATTTTTATGCCTTACTATACTATGACATTTTTATGAAAATTTTTTGCCTTACAATACTATGATGGTTTTATGCAGTTTTTATAACTTACTATACCATGACATTTTATGCCTTACTATACTAATTCGCTTTTTTTTGCATTTTTATGCCTTACTATACTGTTACTTTTTTTGAGATTTATATGCCTTACTATACTATGACGTTTTTTGGGCATTTTTATAACTTACTATACCGTGACGTTTTATGACATTTTATGCCTTACTATACTATGACGTTTTTTGATGTTTTTATGCCTTACTATACTATGACATTTTATGCCTTACTATATTATGTTTTATGCCTTACTATTCTTTGATGTTTTTATTCCTTACTATACTATGACATTTTATGCCTTACTATACTGTGACGTTTTTATGACATTTTATGTCTTATAATACTGTGGCATTTTTATGCCTTGCTATACTATGATGTTTTATGACATTTTATGCCTTGCTATACTGTGGCATTTTTTTTGGTATTTTTATGCCTTGCTATACTACAACGTATTATGACATTTTATGCCTTACTATACCATGGCGTTTTTTGACGTTTATATGCCTTACTATACTATGACTTTTTTCGGGCATTTTTATAACATACTATACCATGACGTTTTATGACATTTTATTCCTTACTATACTATGACGTTTTTTGACATTTTTATGCCTTACTATACTATGACATTTTTATGAAAATTTTTTGCCTTACAATACTATGATGGTATTATGCAGTTTTTATGCCTTACTATACTATGACATTTTATGCCTTACTATATTATGACATTTTATGCCTTGCTATACTATGACATTTTATGACATTTTTTGCCTTACTATACTGTGGCATTTTTTTGACATTTTTATGCCTTGCTATACTGTTTTTTTTTTTTTTTTTTACGTTTTTATCCCTTACTATACTATGACGTTTTTTGACGTTTTTATGCCTTACTATACTATGACATTTTTGTGAAAATTTTTTGCCTTACAATACTATGAGGGTTTTTGCAGTTTTTATGCCTTACTATACTATGACATTTTTATGACTTTTTATGCCTTACTATACTGTGACTTTTTTTGACGTTTAATGCCTTAGTATTCTATGATGTTTTTTGACGTTTTCATGCCTTACTATACTGTGACATTTTATGCCTTACTATATTATGTTTTATGCCTTACTATAATATGATGTTTTATGACATTTTATGCCTTATCATACTTTGATGTTTTATACCTTACTATACTATGATGTTTGTATGCCTTACTTTACTATGACGTTTTATGACATTTTATGCCTTACTATTCTGTGATGTTTTTTGATGTTTTTATGCCTTACTATTCTATGATGTTTTTTTGATGTTTTTATGCCTTACTATACTATGACATTTTATGCCTTACTATACTGTGGCATCTTATACCTTGCTATACTATGATGTTTTATGACATTTTATGCCTTACTATACTATGACGTTTTATGACATTTTATGCCTTACTATACTATGACATTTTCATGAAATTTTTTTTCCTTACAATACTATGATGGTTTTATGCAATTTTTATTCCTTACTATACTATGACGTTTTTATGACATTTATATGCCTTACTATACTATGACTTTTTTTGGGCATTTTTATAACTTACTATATCATGACGTTTTATGACATTTTATGCCTTATTACAC